TTTAAAAAGCTAAATCAGCTATAATTTTTGAAATTTTTTTGAAATAATCTCATTATATCTTCAAATAAAAATTCCTATATTTTTTCAGAAAATTGATCTAAGATGCCATCTGAACCTTTTAAACCTTCACATTCATTCAAAATAAAGCTATATAATGAATGCGTAATATATGTATCCTATACATTTTAATGAAATAAATATCAAAGATATTTTGAAAATAAAGAAAGTATCACAATTAAAAAATGTATCCAGTAACAAATTACGATATGAATTTCCCTGAAATTTAATAGTCGGGTTAATTGAATATACTGACGCTATAATTTGTGATATTGAAATAACACAAGATAATAATAACTCCAACCAAGTGCTATAACAGGTGTAATCAATGCTTAATATGTGCCTATGAAATTCGAATCTATATACACACTACCTAGGCACGTTATTAAAATTAATCATTACTGATATTCAAAAAAGAAATGTAAGGCTGAGTTACCATATTTACCTCAAAAAAAATGGTTATGTTAAATTTTAAATTTTAAATTTTAAATTTTAAATCAATAATTCTTAAAATTAAAAATATGGTTATCAGGTTATAATATTTTTTTTATTATTTAAAATGTAATAGCATCAATAGTTAATCAATCATTTTATACATATGTTTTTATCTAAAAATATAAGAAAACTATGTATAACAGAAACAAGTCATTAAGGGGACTAGGCAACAAAAACTCTATGGGGGGAGAAGCTCCCATAAAAATGAGCCGCTCAAAAAATTGCACACTAGACCGCAACTTCACCAGTCGGCCCTGGATTGGTGGCTAGAAGCGTACAGACAGATCAAGTATAGAATGAAGGAAGCATTGTTCATACACTCGACTGAAGATAACACGTGTAAAAATATTTCAAAAATTCATTAAGAGTTAATAGTTATTTAAAACCATGGTTGCTCGATTTCTTAAGTCCTGAAAGTTTATCATTGATTTAGGGTTAATGCATGATGTCCTTACAGATATTCTAATGTCATTGCAAAAGCAATGCAAAGATCTAACCATGCATAAAAGCACAAAAGGATATCATTCCTTTATGGGTATGCAAGATATGTAATGTTTTGAATTTTTATAATTTAAATAATGAAAGTATACCAGGCATCATATATCCTTCGAGGTCTGTAAGTCAAATTACGTCAGCATTCTCGTCGCTCTAGGATATAAATCATAATGAATTTTTTGTCGTTGTTTCCTTGTTTTATATATTATTAAATGTTATTTATAGTATAGCAAATTAAATTTAGTATGTGAATATTTACAGATTTCGCTCGATTTAAAAACTAATCATATTGAAAATATAGTACAGTCACATCTCTAATAAACACCCTTCGAAAAAGATATTTATTTGAATAACAAGATTCTATTTGTTTTCGAAATTCTTTCTTGATATATTCATTGTCCAAATAGATAACTGACCGATAAGTGTAAATGTATGATTTGATGAAAATCTAATAAGAAAAAATTTATCAAAGACTCAAATTAAACAAGGGGTCTAAATGAATTGCTGGACATTCCTACCTGCTATTTTAAACTCCTTAGTTGGGTGAATACTCTGCAGTAAGGCTGAGTGCGAAAGAGATTCTCATCTCATGAATTTTATAACAGTTAATGATCGAGCGAATTTAAATAAATAAATATATAGAAAATTGCATGTTTATAAACATTATCAGGCCTTCGGTAGCAAACTGGATTCTTGATTCATACATAAATGTATGGAAGAAAAATAACTAACGAGCTAATAAAATATTTCCAAAAAACGTCTAAAGAAAACGAAGAAAAAGATTAAAAATTTCAATTTATATATATGTGTATAATATATTTTTTTGTATATTTATGTTATCATTTTTAAATCTATTATATATAGTAATAACTATGACTATAAGAAAGAAATATCATAAACTTAAAAAAAATAATTTTAAGAAAAGCATAATTGGGTTCCTAAACAGGAACAATAGTTGAATTTAATAATGTTTATTAGTATGTTTTGCCCAAGGAATAGAAATTCTCTAGGTTAATGTTTTCAATTTAATTTGGTGAGTTAATTTTTTTTAAAAGCTATCAAATGGAGAAGATGAGATGAATGTTAGCTCAAGGAAACTCAGGTTATACGAAAAAAAAAATTTGCTTCGTATTATCAATCCGGAAACTAAACTAAGCGGTGTCGTAACGAGCCCATATGAATCGGAATCTAAATTTGGTCAAACCACAATTATATCTTCGAAATTTGAGAAATAATATGTGGAGAAAAGGGAAGTATATGAGGGATAAGGCCAAGGTAAATAAGCTTAGTGATACATCACATTTGATCAAAATACAGGTAACCATGATTCTATAATTGGCACCAATATCCAAAAATCTCTGTTAGAAAGACCAAATAGGGGTGGGTTCAATTGGCCGTAACTATTTGATTCACAATTATTGCTTGAACTCGAATGATTTACCACTTTTTTGACTGCCACGGATACTGACATTTAGTCTCCATTTAATTCAAATAATGTTACAGCGGGTAGTCAAAACAAATAGTCTCCCGTGAGCTCTTTGAATCCTACATATTAAATACATGATGTTCATTTAAAAGACCCCAAGTCATTATTACTCAATCGATCATTGCGATCTTTTTCTTAATAAAATTTTATTATGATTTTAGGATATTGAAATATCAAACTTATTTATTATATTATTTTATTTTTACATATTCTCTGCGTTAATTTTTTTTGGCAATAATTTTATTATTGTAATGAAAAAAATATATGAACATGCATTGAATTAAAATAATAATATAAAAAAATGAGGAAAGCAAGGAAGATATTATGCTAAGGAAGTGTTAATACTTGAAAAGCAAGAGCGATTGATTCTGAGATTTTGAGGGATAACTACAACATAGTAATAAAAATATTATTTGAAGAGTATTTATTAAGTGAGTTTTAAATAATATTCAGTCTTTTGTTGTTTTTTAGATGCGGCTTCCGATTTTCTCTTAACTTGTTATAGTTGCTCGTCTTGAATCCATTCTCGGCCTAGGTTGGCAGAATTATTGTCTGCCAGTATACATTTGATGTCCTGGCTTGCTATAGCGAAACTTGTCATTGTAATATATGCCATAATTAGAGTGTTGTAAATCTTACATCTCAGTGAGTAGAATTCTATAATTGAGTCGATATGTGTATCGTAGGTTGGCGATTGTTTTAGTAGTTTTAGTTGCTCGCATTACGACTGTATTACTAGTAATTTCTTTACGTTTATTTGGTCGATGTAATAGCTATCCAAATCTATATCTATTCAACTTACGGAAAGAGTCGTAGGCTGGATAGGGCCGAATTATTTATTGGTGATTTAAAATTTCGGATAAACTCCTGCTTTTCATCAAAACTCGCCTTAAATCCAAATAAAGCAATGGTTTGCGGGGACGCAGCCTATCTTCTAACAGCGCGCAAGGGCATCGCTTGGTTTATAAAACTCGGTGTACGTATAGAGATTTATGGGGTAACAATATTAGCGCTAATAACATTTTAGCCCTTTAAAGACCTTAAACTTGGTGTGAAAATATATTTTTATATCTAATTTCTTACATATGTTAATCTTTTGAAAATCTTTTCTGGTTTGACATATTTTGTTAAAAACATTTTTTTACCCAAAAATTATAAAAAATCACCCACTAGTTTATTTTACTTTTAGCAAAATATATTTAAGGTTCAGAATTTAAAACATTACATACACCTTTCTTAAAGCCATAGCTATAATTAAAATTTATCGGAAGGTTATAGCTCAACTATAAAGTTATGCAATATTTGTACAACTTTGGGGTAAAGATGTTATAGATAAAACGCTTAAAATGTTCCGTCTGATATAAGCTGTTAAAAGATTAAAAATACTTTTGAACAAAAAGGAACATTAATAAATTGTTTGTGTGTTTTTTGGAATAAATTTTTAAGAATAGTAGCAAAGGGGAAGAATAAAAAAGAAATGTGCCTAAAATGGACACACTAAAATATGCTGTTTTTAATATAATATTTTACATTCCGATATATTGACTAGTTTACACTAAAAGTGATGAATAGATGTTAAAATTGCAATATTTTGTTCAATTAAACAATATGGTTATGTTCAATTTAATTTTAACCGCTTTGCCCTGATGTTTAGCAAATTTATCCTGGGTATGGGGTATGTAGAAAATGACCCACTTCACATAATTAATCACAACTCCTAAAGATAATTAAAAAGCTTTTTATTTTGTAGATGAAGATATAGATCTATAATTTGTTTTGTTTTGTCTATATTTTAAAATTTTATATAAAAATACAAAATACCAATCGTTTTACCCCCGTCACCCCTATATAATATGGTCACATACATATATACACATAAAATTAGATAAAGGATGATAGTAATTTAAATAATAAAAACTTTAAATTTTGTTTATAATATATAAATTAATTTTAATAAAACGGATACTAACTTTGACCATGATATTTTGCAATTAACAAGGATATTATTAAATTTTTAAAAAAAATTTAGTTATGAGTTTATAGGATTTAATTAGTGTGATTTAACATATAATATAATGAAGAATTAAGTTGATGCATTGAGAATTATATGTTCCTTATGCACATTTAACGAGTTGTAAAATTTAAAAGAAAGTTATAAATAGAATAAAATAACATCTTTCTTTAACGGATAAATTCATAATTTAAAGGATAAGCAGCCGAGTATCTTTGTTTTAGATTGATTAGGTTATTTTATTGTTTAAAAAAACATTTCATATAAATTTTAAATGAATTTTTATTTTTAACATTTATTTGGATGGATTGTTTTCGATATGCATGCATTCTGTTTACAATTTAAAAAAAAATGTTAGGGTGCAAATATAATTTTAACATAAAATACCATTAATTATCTTGCATGCATTCTGTTACAAATGGATTATATTATAGAAAAAATATTTTAACATTTATACTTGTTTAATATAAATTTATAATGCATCAAAAAAAATTAAATAATTACTGAAACCAGACATCAATACCAATAGACTATTTTCTTGTACAATTATTTAAATAACCTTGTGCATACTATGCGGAGTAGTTATCAAAGTAAAGTAATATATTTTATGAAATTAATAAACGTTTAAAAATTTTAAATATTTGTTCAAATTACACTATGCAGTTAGCAAGGGCGCCCATAAACTTTTCTCGCGAATTTATATTGCTTAATCTAGCCAAAGTGTAAAATGAGTGGACCTAAAGACCTCCAATAAAGTTTACGAGGAAAGCTCCAAATTATTTTGCTTTCCCTCTCTCAGCAAAACCCTACGTCTATGAGGTCAAATAACTTAAAGCGAATATTAATAACATCATTAAAATGAGATTTAATTAAGCGATGAAATCGAAGAATCATAATTTTTTAGCGCCTATGACAGTTAGTTTAATAAAATCATATTTAATAATATTTTTTAAATTTATTTAAAGACTGTTTAAATTTCCCGTTTGCTAGATCAATTCCAACTACAAAATCTATATTGCTACTAATTATTATATATTATGGATATTGTTTAACGGATGATAAAACAGAAAATTGGCTTTCAAATATTAATAAGAGTCGTTATAAGAAATGTGTGTTCAATACAATATGCAAATTCCGCAATTTATCATCAAATAGCAATTCAAGTGGATCAAAAGAAATCAGATCAACAATATATACAACCCAATACGAAAATGATATCAATGGTAAGGAAAATGAGTCGAATAATACGAGACAAAATGTCATAAACGCAGATAAATATCCTCCTAATTACATTAATAAAGTTTTTAATAAATATCCTGTTAAGGCAAAATCTCCAATAACTAATGAATTTCTAAGGTGGAATGAAAAATGTACAGAGGTTTCTTTTCATCAGACACTAACAGTAGATGCAGATAAAGATTTCGCTGGATTTAAGGATCTAAAAGGTAAATGGGAATGTGATACGGCTAATATAACAAATAAATTTTGCTTTGGTATATGTAGAACTTTTAAATATCCGATTGAAGCCGATAACGAAAACGATGGCTTATACAAAATAAAATTTGTGGAAACTGGTAGAGAAAACATTAAGATCAAGACATATGATGTCATTAAGCAGAAAAAAGGTCAAACTAATAATAATAAACTTGACAATTTTTTTGAGAATTTTCTTTTATCACAATATTCGGAGCAAACATACCAACGTATACCTATTAGTAGAAATACTGATAAAAATAACAATGTAAAGAATAATCATACCGCTAAAAATGGAAAGTATAAAAGAGATTTAAGGTATAATAAAGAGACAGTTGGCGGATTTTTTTGCTCAGCGTGCGTTCCGCAAAAGGCTAAATATCAAGATATATATTTGATGTGTCGGCAGGTTCATTCTTCTCAACTAGCTACCCCATTTTCAAATGATATAAATGATAAATTAAATTTACACAAAGAGATTAATTGTAAAAACTGTCAGGATAAAAATATACACAAATCTATGATAGTTGATAATAACTTAGTAAATTTTCTTAATAAATATGGAATAAATCCTTCAAAACAGAACGTTTCGGCCAAAACCTATACCAAGATAAACTCGGATATATCTAATAATAACATTACTAAAAATAGTCTGGAATATCGTCGAAATTACCTTCAAAGAAATAAAATAATAGATATAGATAATAAAGAAATTGATAAAACTAAAGTTGATGATTTAATACACCAAAATAAGAATATGATGATGGATCAGAAATATCTTTTGGTTACTAAAAGAGTTTTAATAATAGATAAATGCGAATGCCAATCTTGTTCTAAACACGACAAATATTTATGAATGAAGTTATTCTATTCAAATTATTTTTAAAAAATAGTCTGTTTATTGAAAGTATAATTCATATTTTTTTAAAAATTCGTAATTATGATAAATACTTGATTAATTTTTGAAATTTTTTTTCTAATGTATTATTTATGTTGTATTGTGTTAATAAATTAGTGGTGAAATATATTAAACTTAGATAAAGTATTCATTTCTAAATATAAAGATATGAGATAAGCATATTTGCAAATTGGAGAGAGGGGTAGCTGAGTGGTTGTCATAAGCTGCCAAAATAAGTCTATTTTATTGGTCGCTAAATTTTGTTTTTTTGTGCACTTAAAGGTTTATAATTTTTAAAAGCATATACATACATAAATTATGCCTAACATTACCTAATTAAGTAATTTATCACAAATTATTCATATTTTACTATAATATATTACATAAATATTATTTAATTCATATTATAAGCAATGGCATAACTTAACTTTTTCTTTTGGCGGTGCCCAATTTTATGTAAAAATCACTTAGGATCGTTTAAATGAACCAGGTGTCATAGGTAATTGAATATATAATAATATTCTAACTTATAATTCCTATTTTTATCATTATTTCAAAACAATTTATACATTTTTCCAAATTTCATATGAAAACTTCTATGTAGACGCGTTTTTTAAAAACGGTTAAGTCGAGATTTTGGCCAAAAAAATATATTATCAAAACCCAGTGCTGTAATCCTAAAATTAGCGGCGGAGTAAACTATTACTCTAAAAAAATAGTAGAATTTACGATAAAATGGGTATAAAATAGAGGCGAATTTTTATTTTTCCAAGAATTTGATTTTTTTGTTGTATTTATTTTTTAAATAGTTTATATCGAAGCTTTATAAGATATATTATATCTATATTATATAAATATCTAACAATAAAGTTATATAAAAATGGAAATTTATTGCAAAAAATATATATTGTATAAAAAATGAAAATTTTAAAATGCTTTTCATAATTAGAAAAAATAATTATACAGTAGTACTACACGGAATTGTTTTAATACAATTTTGAAACTCTTTTAAATCACTTGGGCATTTATTACTTTTATTATTATCATCAAAATATTCCCTCATCCCATTTATTGCGAGATCCACATCGCACTTCAGTCGGAAAAACGAATAAAGAGGTATGCTGGCCAGTTATTTTTTTAAAATTAATATTCCATATCAGATAAGATAGCTAAAAAGATAAAACTGCATAATTTAATATTGTATTTTTAATTAATAGTTATTGGAATTTTCATCCATTAATGTATTTTTCATTTTGTCTATTACGGCAATAATTAATTGATTTTCTTTGATACCAGAGTGTCTTCTCCTTTACTTCAATATTACTAATCCAGATTTATTTATTTCACTAGCTTCTTATGCTATTTTCATATGTTCTCGTTTTGAAATATTAAATAAACTTTCATTTTATTCTTAAACGATTTTAGAAAAATCGTTCGCTTTAATGATTTTTCGGCTTTAGGTAAACTAATTTCTCTCGTCTGAAACCCTAAAGATCCATATTAAAGATTAACAATCTTGATGAAGATTTAACATCGAAAATTTAAAATAAAAATTAAGGAATTTGGTGGTTGATGTAAATCAAAAACTCGCTTTAAATTATTTATAAAATTTAGAAATAAATAAAAGTAATTTTATATACAAAATATGTTTTTTCCATATTTTTTTAAAAAAAATGTGAATTAACGAGTAATGCTTTGTGTTACAGTTACTCAAAATAAAAAAAACGTGTACCGTTATTCATTACCACTAGAAGAAGGTAACGAATGACGTTCCTTATTTTCAAAAAAGGTAACGCCGTTAGTAACGATGTCACTTTTTTGACGTTACTCTACAGCACTATTTATAAATAGAATTATTAAAATCAAATTTTGATTGTCAATACTCTTGAATTGTTTTAGAAAATTATCTGCTTCATTTAAAAAACCATTAATTAGGGCAACATTTAAACAATTGAAAATAAAATTTTTAACAATAGAGCAGTAAAATTATAGATTAACAAAGCTATAACATAATTTTGCGAATCTGTATTAACAAAGATTATTCTGATTGCAATTGCATATTAACAGCATGTACACTTTCTAAATATGTTTCCGCCAATTCATTTTCTAAAAATCTTTGAAGAGCTTTTATAATTTCCATTTAAAAATATCTTTTTAGTATTTCATGATATTTTAAAGTTCTATCAAAGGCGGGTATTAGTGATAATCATTTGAAGGGGCATGTCGTACTAACTCACTCCATTCGATATCATACATGGTGTCTGTTCTTGACATTTGTTGAAATAATACATGATTGTTTCTTTATAGTTCGGATATATGGATGAGTATGCAATGCTATTTTTTAAACAACTGGATATAATTATAATGAATTGCGCTTGCTTAAGGTGAATTATAATAAATGAAATATAATTATCATATAGAAATAAGTCCGATATAATTTATAATTATGTTATGTATTTAATTGAATATAATAATATTAAATTTTTTTTTAAAAAAAAGAAACAAAAAAAAATATTTAGATAACCTCAGGAAATATAGTCCAATCCAGATAAAATGTTCATATCATAATTCCTAAGATTCAGAACAAAATACATGATTATTATAATGTTGTGTTTTTATTAGATAAAACATATTAGGAAGAAGGAAATTGACAAACTAGACATGTTTTTTAAAATAAATTTGAACGTATCTAGGGAGTTGCAATGTCATAGGAGAGTGAATGAATGGAGGGTAAAGGTACTAATAACACGGTAAACACTTCTCGACAAATCTAAGATATATAATAAATCGGAAGATACTCAAGACCACGCAACTCTGAGAAATAAAATATTAAGAGGTAAATGGCCAGTGACCCCTACACTTTCTAAGATATGGAAGCAGACTCCCCTGAAAAATATGTATTATATCTTAATGTAAAATTATATATACTTTAAAAATATTATTTTAAATTAATAATTTAGACAAATTAGAGGAATAGAAAGCGAAAGAATTTATAATTTTATCAATATTTAATTGCTTAAATAAATATTTTTCCATTGATAAAATGGTTAAATTATTAAGAAATAGATCTTTCATGGTACTATGAAGTCTTATTTTAATTTTACTCATGACCCTTTCGGCAGTACATGAGGTAGTAAGAATGGTTAATAAATATTCATATAAAATTGTTAAATTATAGGGAAAGCAGAAAAATTTAAAAGTAGACGATAAGGTAAATAAACGAGTAGTTTTTCCAACCTGAAGTCTCAAAATTATCATCATCAGAAGAAGCTAAATAACGTTTTAATAAAAATATTTTAATTAAATAAATTAAAAATTCCCAGAATCTAACAAATATTTAGATTCTTTATTCTAGGTCACGTGTAATAATTAAACACCCCCCCCCCCCCGTTTTAGCCATCTTATTATAAGATAAGTATAAACAACTAAATACTTAGCTATTCGTCCAATTTTGAGAAATATTCATAAAAGCTACTATTTCAAAGCTTTTCTTTATATCGTTAAAATTAGGCCCGTTATGTCTTTTTCTAATGTGGTCTGTTCATTTATCCATTTCTTATATTACGGCATGTGCAATTATTAATTAAGCAATTGTATTTTTTTTTGGTTAATATTTTTAGGCATATTTTGAAATTGGAAAAATAATTTTATGACAAGAAATCTCGGATAACAACCTAATTTGCTAAACATCGAGTAAAACAATAAAAGATAAATTTTAAAAGGTACCCCCACTCAAATTTTTAGAAGTAGTTGCTTCAATCCCCCCCCCCCCCCCGTTGTAGGGATCACTGTAAATGGCTAATCGAAGAGTCCTGGGAAATTTGCCAATAAATTATTATGAAATTAGTACTTATAGAATCATGTAAAAATCTCTTATATAACAATATTAAAATGCATTCTTTATATTAATTTGGTGCAATAGTTTGTTATCATTAGTTGGATAAATTAGTCGTTTAAGCAAATTTTAAGCTGGCTGTTTTTAGCCGTAAACTATTACTTTAGCCTCGGGGTTTTCCTTCAAAATCTAGCAGTAGATTAGGCTGAATTAGGCGAAAATTCCATTACTCAATTACAAATCCTTCGCCATTCCTTTAAACCTAGTATTCCTCATAATAATTTATTTATTAGTTATTTTTATTATAATAAATATAGATATTAGTGGTAGTTACTCATTATTAATTTTGCTAATGTTACATACTTTATAAAAGTAAAAAATAATGGTGTAAGAGATGTATCCCCTGCTATAAATAAAAATCACACATTAAAATAAAAAAAATAAACATTTTTTTATGTAATATAAAAGACATTGAAAAAATGTTAAGCATATTTTTTCCAAAATTTAAATGAGGTAAATTCATATATGGAGGAAGGGGAGGGGGCTAGACAATAGATAATACCTATAAATAAGTTTGCATTATTGTGATAAACATCATCAATTTATATTATAAATTTTCTTTTTTTAAAGATTATTTAAATGGTCATAAATATAAATGGACATGGGAAAATAAATAATAATATGATGTTGAAAAAAATGTATTAATATAGAGGGCGCAATAAATGTTTGGACCAACTAAACATAATTTTTCTAAAGATAAAGTAATATCCGGTAGCCAAGAACTATTACAAAAATTATTGGCCATCAAAAATGTTAATAAAATGTGGAGTATTTCAGTCATTTAAATATTATTTTAAAAATAATTAATTATATTAATACAATTAGAGACATAAAATAATTGATTGCATCTAATGTAATATTTTTTCCTTTAATGCTTCGGTATATAAATGGTCTGCAATTAGTGATCCAAAAATTGATTCAATTAAAATATTTATATTAATTTAAATAAAAAACGAATTCATCCCAGTTTTCGAATTCTTTCAAATTGACAGGATTTGAAAAAGTAACTGATATAAATTTTTTTATCTTCTATTATTACAATACGTATTTGATACAATGTTTAAATTTGTTGGGTGTATATTAGGCCATAAATGAAAAAAAAGAAAGAAAAGGTAAAATATTGTATTCATATTAATAAAGAAAAATCGGGCAAATAAAAGGTATCTCTGAGAGATAAAAAAATTATAATATTAACTAATTTTCAAGGTAGGTGCATATTTAAGGCTGGATTATATTTAAAAAAATATTATGAGGATATTGGTTCCGTGATTTAAGATCTGAACTTCTCTAAATATTTTTGAGGAATGATTAGAAATAAGTGACATTAATAAAATATTTCGTCAAAATCGTATATATCGTTTTCTGGAAGTTTCCTAACTTTCAAAGAACCGTCCGATCCGCAAGAATATATTCTATTTCTCGAATCCATGTATATCTGTGCAACTCCCCCTTGATTCAATACAGATGAAGATTTGCTACTAGCTGAGGCCGCTATTTTAAATATAGCGGCGCCAGATCGAATGTGTTCATTGTTAAACGTGTAAAGAGGGAGAATGGAGGATGGTGTATGATGGTGTCCATTTTGAGAAGACGGGAGAGATAAGGATGATATGGCTGGACAGGAATTGAGGATAGTTGCCATGGACCAGACCTAAAAAGTGCATGAATATAAAATTTGAACGTGACCAGATAATCCTAACAACTTTCAAGCATAAAATTAAACCAACTAATAATCGAATTGGAAATATGAAGGAAAAAATAAAGCCATCATTTTTTAACCATATAATTGTGTTTATAAAATTATTTAAACAAGAATCAAAATAATATAGACAAACTTTAATATTTCCCTCGACAGAACCCGTAACCATATATTCTTCTCGAGGATCTATACTTAAACATCTTGACAATATGATAAATATATATTTATTTTTAAAAATACCATGATATAAATTATTATGCATATGAAGTTGAATATGAACCAGTGAAATAATATCTTACAAAATTGTCTGAAATTTTTAGGATATGTATTATTCCAGACTAAATTTCCGGAAAATTAGATTATAAAAATCTAAAAAGATTTAAAGTTGGTAAAGAGTACACATATGTTTAAAGTATTTTTTTAAAAATATTTTAAAAATTATTCCAGCATATATAGAATATATATCCTATAAATTTAAGATAATTTGATCATGAACTTTTGAACATCTTAAATTTATGGCATTACAGAAATTAATTAAGATTTAAATCAGTCAATACATGTATTGTATTGATTGTGGCATATCATATATATCAGAGACCTGCTTGCCTATGCAATTGGTACCTCTGCAAGTATGACAAATTAGTTAGACCGTCAAGGTCATCATTGAACAATATTTCATTTTAAAGACCTACCATTAGACTATATTATAAATGATATTAAAAAAACGTAATAGAGGTCAAAAATTTTTTAATGTTAGAAGTTCTTATCTTAGTCCACGTTTGGACTAAATGGTACAAAATAATTTAAAGGTCTCGAGTTAAAAAACTTGTGTTTAAGGATTTGTGTTATAATTCTCTAATTCTGGTTATCTCTTAAAAAGGAAATATGTTTCTGGACTAGAGATACGTAATTATAAATGTATATAAAATTTAAATTAAAAGTATTTTCCTGTTATGCGGAGATGCTTTTTTCCTGCATTGATAATCAAAATAAATAATGAATAACTTTATAGGCGATTCATGAGCATGAAACGATGTAACAATATTGCGAGGTGACCGGGTATCAACGAGGATCACGTAACCTTTCCTAGTGGTGACAGCTAGTATCCATCCGCGCAACGATGACCATTCAAGACCCGTTAGAAAGGCCGAATTTGTAGTTTGTTGAGAATGAGAGGAACTTAAAGGATCATCTGGTATCGAGAGAGCTTTAAAAATATAAAATTTTAAGAATATTTAAGGATATTTTTTTTTCTTGATTTTAACGTTTAAAGTAAACATTTTGCCATGTATGGCAATCTTATTTTTACGCCCTACCTTTATGATTTATTAAAATATTTATTTTTCCGTGTGCCGATTAGAAATTCAGGTAATGCACGATTAATTTTATAATTCTTCAGTTTCAAAATCAGAAATATTATTAAAAAATTAAAAATCTTATAATATTTAAGGGCATTTTCTGTATTAAAGTATAAAGGATCTGTAAATAATAGAGGATCTGTAAATACTTATTCTAATTTAATGGCTGATCAGATTTTTAATCCAAAAAATTTTCTAAATTTTTCATGCCGTCTCGGGCATATAGAAGTGCTATTACTATAGGTTAAAAAATTATGTTTTATTACATTGAACGCAAGATGATCGTTCCGGCATCAGGGTATCATATACACACAAGTTTTTGTTATCTGGAGAGGAAGATCCGGCGGTTGCTATAAGAGTACAAGATCCTAGGAAGGTAAAATCAACTCCTGATTTGTTATGACATTGGTAATTCTTTATTAACAATGAAAGTTAATAAAAAAAAATCTGTATAACGGGTTTGTATAAAAATATTCAGTAGTATAATTAATATATAAATTGGACATAGTTGTCATTATTAATATTAATTCTCACCCTGGAGAGGTCCAATTTTAAGATCTGGTCTAGATTTTTTCTTTTTCTAGCCCGGATTTTTATTTAAAAAATTCAACTGTTAATTAATACAACATAAATTTATTTAAAAAGAATTCGACCTGGCTTGGGTCGCAATATATTTTTAACCCTGGTCCGGCCCAAGTTCATAAATTACTAGAACCTAGTTTCTGTTAAAAACATTTATACGTATAAATTGTTCTTTTTCTAAAATATACCATTAAAATTTTATTTTAAAATAAACCCAATGTGAAAATTCGGAATGCAAATAGGATTCGAGGCTAGAATTGTATAGGACTACCCTACCGTCCATATGCATAGCGCCAAGCTATAAAAAGTGATGCACATATAATATTATATAAATTATACAAAATATATATATATCTAGAATTAGGGGGAGTCAAAATTTAAGACATCATTTATAAATAAAATACATAGAAATTTGTCTTCGAAAATTTTACCAGAAGGGGCAAATGTCTTCCCCAGCTTTTCCCCTAAATTCTAAAAATAAAATTAGACAATTTATGTTAATGAATAAGAGTTTAAAAAAAGATCTAAAAGGGACGATAATTAGTTTATATAATTTATTTTTTTATATAAATTAGTTGGTAAGAAATACCTTATTCCCTTGAGGACTATACCTAAGCCCCACAACTCGATTACTGGTATTCGAACTACCAGTGGATGTAGGTTGATCGTTCAATTTAGCAAGACAATCAGGTTCTCCCCATTTCCATACCTTAACGATTCCATCTAATCCACCAGTTAAGTCTTGCAAATAATAAAATAAATTGTAGATTCTTTCAAGTCATTTATATTTTAATCATTTTGCGAATTTTATATTTTATAAATGACATGTATTTATAAAATTATTTAATAAAATCGCCATTTTTAAATATATTTTTTTGGTTAAAATAATTTTGAATATACAAATAATCTATTTCAAAATTTTGTCATAATTCAATTTTCAGATACCTTCAAAATAAATTGAATTAGATAATAATGTATATTTAATTTTACTTACAGAAGTTATGGAGTGGATGGGAGGTCATTTTTCTTACGCCGGTTTCATTTCGTTTCAATATCTAATAAAGGTAGAACGGCATGAACAAGTTAAAAAATTTTTATAAAAATGAGATGATTATTAAACATGCGACAATAGCAATACACGATGATTGACATGAATTATTTTTTAATGCAACATCGAGTCATGCCTATATATAGTATGCCATGAGAAGAACTTTAGTACAAAGTGTATGTTCCTTTTTTTAGAAAATTTTAAATGCCTAGTTCGTAAAAGAATCCCCTCTATCCAGTTAACGAATTTATAATATGATTTATGCAATTCAATCGATTAAAACAAAATCGCGTCCCACTTATAATTCTTTATATCTTGATCTGTTGAATTGCCGTTGGTTGGAAGTGGAGGGAACAAGACCAAGAGGAAAGAGCTAAATAATGACATGTAAAAGTTAGGTTTGACACTCGTAAAATGGAGAAAGGCGAATAGAAAGGAAAAATGGTATGAAGAAGAGTCACTATAAACGAAGATGAAGAAGAATAAGAGCTCGTGAGTGATAATGTAGCTTCTTACAATAATTTAGATAATATCATTAAATAAAATGCTGGAATCAAAATTAGAATATCCTAATGTAAAGCTGGTAATAAAATCGATTTAATTATATATATATTTTTCCAAATATTATATTTTCAAAGTTAAAGTTGAATTATATTTATTGAAAGTTTCAAAATATGATATAAATTTAATTATAATTTTATAAAAATGAATTAAGGGGTAATTTGTGTCTTTCTTTATATTAATAAAATGAGTAATTATTCTTCTTTCATATTTAAAAATTTACTCAAATATGTCGTTTAAGAAAAAAAAGCTCAATTTGTAAGAATTTATTATTAGATTGAATGTGATCCCCCTGGACTAAAATTGATATTGTTTTAATAACAAAAATAAAAGAAGCTATTTGTTTCAAAATTAAGGAATTACTGGACTATACTAATAAATTTTAACTGCGAGCTATAAAAATTTTGTTATTAGTTATGTTGCCATTCAAAAAAAAGGGCATGCATCGAGATATGGACATAAATTTAAGGAAATAATCCTCCTTCAAAAGAAAAGTAATTGGGGACAATAAAACATTTCAGAAATTAAATGACACTTCTAAATACCTCGAAAAAACTCCTGATAGATAATAAATTGGGTTAGACGAAAAGGGGGGTATATTTATTATTTATTTTTTTATCAAAAAATGATATTCTCTAATTAAAATATGGATAACAGCTAAATCTTACCAAAGTTAACCCTATTACGCTCTGAACCAAATTTCAAAGTTAGCACGATCTTGGCATAAAAAATATTATTTATAGTGAACAGAAAATTAGTTCCTGAGAGAGTTAGTGAGATTTTATTGTTTACATATCATTGACATTAATTAATATACTCGTCTAAACAGACGATTAGTACATTTAAATGCATTTAAAAGTGTGCATACACAGGAGTCAGCTGAAGGCGTTATCTTTTGGTTTCTAGGATGACTAAGTGACATTTAAGTTTTAGAAATTTATTTTAAAAAACACAATAATTAGTATTAAAAGATAAACCCTATTTCTTATCAACATTTTGCGTTAAATCAGTTCTTCAGTAATCTATCTCCTTCTATATCAATAATAAAAATGAAAAAATCATCTAGAATTTTCTTTATTAATATTATTATATTGTTCAATATCTTACGTTGCAAGATAATTATGTATTATAATTTTCCGAATCCTTAAAACCATATGAGTTGCAAAATATATAGTAATGTAATTTCTAAAATGCGAAAAAGCTACCTTTATAATACAATTTTTAGGTATAGAAAATTTTCGCTTATTTGTTGAAGATCAAATAAATTGAGTATTCCATGTCCATTTTTTTCAAAAGGCATAAAAATAAGTTTTCTGAGAGCATTATCAAATCAGGTAAAAAAATGTCCACGTCTTTATTTGTTGAAAATAGAAGATGCAAATTTTCAAAAACGCTATCGTGGCGTAGCTACGGGGGTGGTTTTCGGGTTTGGACCCCTCCCAGAGCAAATTTTTTTTTTAGATTATACGTTGACTTAAAAGTGACTTTATATCAAATAAATACCATTAATATTTATATTTTTCTGGTTTTGATGTTTATGAAAGGATATTATATTACTATTGAATTTATTCTGGGTAGTATTATTATAAAGTCATTGAGAATAATCTACTAAATTATAATAACATTATCTACTAAATTATAATAACATTATTCATGCATTTAAAAATATTTATATATATTGTCGAAGATGTGGTTATGATTTTTAAGATAAACACGGCCGAAGGCCCGTTAAAGGGGGTCTGAGGGCGAAGTCCCCAGGATTTTATATGTATGGACCCCCTCTAAGGAAAATTCTTAGCTACGCCACTGTGGAACACTATAATCCACAGTTGATGAAATGTCACTTAGAGAAGTGCAGCCCACAAAATGACGTTTACAGCTGAAATATACTTACAATGTATGAATAGTTAATCTAGGTTAGTAATAGTATATGATGCAATATATATATAAGTAAACGATATATAAAAGGACATGAACATAAAGAAGAAAACGGAAAAAATAAAACAATATTTGTCAGATATCTGGATCTCATGATTCTTTTGTAGGCTAAATTGTTATATGGAAAGCACTTCGAATCGAAGAAAATGCGATTTAAATGGTCTATATAGCCAAAATTATCACAAGTTGGAAATGGAGATTTGTACATCTGGGTCTTAGGCGTAATAATAGTAATATAATTTTGATAATATGATGTATTAAAAAAATTTGTTAAATTCCCTTTTTAAAAAAATATATACTTATAAAATGCCCCCCAAAAAAACTATGTAGCTTTTTAGATAAAAATATTCTTTACCTTTAGTATACCCCATATGATTCAACCCTCTCACTTAAAACAATCTCTGCATTTTAATTATGAATTATTATATTTTACCGAATGAATTTTGGGCATGTGAAATTGATGCCTTTGCGAGGGATGGGAAAATAGGTGGTTCTTGTTTGGAGTTTTACCGGATAAACCCAATTTAATTTCGTTGGGGACTATAAGATAATCTACTTCAGATCGGCTCAGTTTCCTTTTAAAATGTTTATAGTTTTATATGAAAAATAAATATGTACAAAATGATGGTAAAGATTTATATTATAATGTGCAATGAAATAATTGAAACTTATTTTGATAAAATAGTATTTCGTAGGCAGAACAGGTTAAAATGTTATGTACTAGATAATATATATATGATGAAATCGAGTAAATGTCTTTTAATGGAAGGTTAATATCTAAGAAGGGTTAGTTGATGATTGGCCCATGAAGAGGTACATTGTTCGCAAATATATTGGAATACTTTCCTACATTTTTGTTTTTTAAGCTGTTATGATAAGTTTCCTTCCCCAGCTCATGGTTGAAAAATTATATTTCGTAAATTTAATTTTTAAATAAATTTGAAAATGTCTTATCTGATATAAAATATGCATTTTAAAGCAATATAATCCATATTTAAAAAAGCCTTTGCAAAACTTCTAATATAAAAAGTGCGGTTGAGTCTTTCCTTTCTTCTCTCATTATCTTTTAATTCCCACTAACTCTCTCCAATTATTCGGTTAAAACTAAAGTCCTGCAGTGCTAGCCAGTCAGCCCAGCCCATGACATCATCAACAAAATATAAGCCCGCCCAAGGTCTTAAAATTATCAATGTTACATTCATTGCCTTCCTATCCTTCCATGATTGATTATTTATCACAATTATAAAATGAATTTAAAAATCTGTAAGTAATATTTACTATTCATTTTTATATAATATTTCGTAATGAACATAATAAATAGACAAACAACATATATTAAATTATCTAGGTTTGATGAATATTTAAATTTAATGTATTAACATTATAAGATTAAAATTTCATTTCTAGGCCTTAAATTTAAAAAATATTTGCTACCGGGCCATGGGGGACCCCGAGCCTAACAATATTGTAGATCTTTAATAAGCATAGCGCACAATATAATAAGGCGCCCAACTCAATTTTTGCCCCTCCCTTTCCTTACCGTTTAGAACTCATAATATCGAGCTCCAAATCGTCGGCAATCCATTCGGGCCTATTAAGAGCTTGATGGATATCCATCTCTTGCGTCTCTTTGTCCGTTCCTATGGCTAGGATATCTTTTCTTGGGTAAAAATAGTATTCCTGGGTAGTTTCGAAAAATTGTTCCATGTCATCTCCAATATGAGAATCTAGATTTTGACCCTTTTCAAGGTAATTCTCGAAGGGAGATGGTTTGGCTCCCTCAGTGTCCGCATGGAAGTCGAAAGAAAGCTTCGATTTTAGAGTGAAACAATGAATAGCCTCCTTTTCTTTTTGCATAACAGTGAATATCACTTTGGATTCTGATACTTTTGAGGATTGATGAGAATGAGATTCGGAAAGGAGGGTCCTTGTCGAGTTTTTAGTGGAATGTCTATGTGTTAGAATATTACCTTCATTTGAAAAATGTAGTATGATTAGTAAAAATAATAATAAGAGGACTAGAGATATTTTTTTCAAAGAATGTGGAACAAGTTATTTCTTATATAAGCTTTTGTTAGGATAGAAAAATTTAGATCTATTATTCAAGCTTTTAAAAATTTAAAGGTGAATAAGGTATTTCGTAAATGAATTTAAGAACATTAAAAAATAAAATTAGTATAAATATCTTTAAAACCAATAGAAACCTATTTTATAATCAACAAACGTGAAATATCAAGTTTATTATTCTACAAATGAAAATAATTTCTATGTACCTTTAGCCATATATTTAGTGTCAAAACCGTTTCCTGTTATTTCCAAATCTTGTTCAAGTTTCTTGCGATCAGTAATTTTCGTTCCATCCATCTATAGTATATAAAATTATTTTTAAATCCAAATTTAATTTTTCAAAAAAATAGTCTTAATTATAATATGGTAGGGTATTATTCAATTCGTCAATTTACTATTTATATCAGAATAATAAAATTTACTAATGTATTCAATTTTTATAAATATTATAAAAAATATATTTTGACAGAATTTTTTTATTTCCGGGTCCAGATCCGGGTTCAGGAATAAAATTTAAAAAAAGGGTTTGGGTTTGAAGATCATAAAGAAATATTCACTTAAAATTACACAATTTATTTTATTACACTCCATATAAATAAGTCATGTATAATTTAAATAGCTCTTAATATTATTACCTACACTACAAAACATAAACGCATCAGGGATTTTGATAGGAGAGGGGATATTATTAGGTGGGCTTCTCCTCATAAATTTTAGTGGAGATCTTTAGGTTAACGTATTTTAGGCTTTGGCTATATTAGATTTTCATAAAAATAATCTTGGGTTTTCACTTTTTTTTAGAAAAATGCTTTTTCCTAAAAATTTTGTATTTAAAAAGTTATTAACTTTTATTAATTTATCTTTCAAATTTGTAATAGATTGTTTACATTTTTTGGGGTGAGGGGTGTGTAGGCAAAAAATTTATATTAACCTAAAAATGATATTTACGAGAGCAAGCAAATTTGAGATGGGAGAAGAGGGGGGATGCTTGGTTACGAGCCTGCTATAAAACTTTCAATATTTCAGTTTCTAAAATAGATATAAATTAAAACAAGATATTATCAATAAAATGAAAGTACAAAACAGAAAATTTTGAAAAATGGGAAGAGATAAAAAAAAAAATTTGAATTTATTTTTCATGAATTTAAAGGAAAAAATTTTTTAAAAAAAGATTTTAAATATTTTTTTGACACCTAGAACGCTCCACTTTAAAAAAGGGTCCAAGTATAGCCAAAATACTAGGGTTCAGGCTCCAAGTTTGGGTTTACATCCCTGTTATAATCACGAAGAAAAGAAATTAAAATGCATATTAATTTAATTTATAACGCCAAGCCAATTTTTAAGGTAAGTTCTTCGTAAGACATGCGATTTTTTGACGGCCAATTAGTTATAATTGAGAAAAACCTTTCAAAAGTAGTTGATGTACCTTTGTTAATCATGTAGATTGTCAGACTGATAGGTTATCAATACAAATGATTAAAGTTTATGAACATTAATAATTATTCTGAATTAATTGATTCGAATAATTCTTTTTGAACAAACTGATATGATAGATAATTGATAGAAAAAAATTAAAGGCTATAATTAAAAAATAATATAAAAGAAAAAAAATTTAAAATAACGAAAAAACTAACATAATTTAGGAATAAATAAGCTACACAAAGTCATAGATGAAAGGTAAGTTAAATCTACACATTTCTTACCTTATATTTAGCTTGGAATAAAAAATATTCTGAGATTTTCAGAAACAGCTGATTAAGAATTAATAAATTAGATAAAAATGATAACCTGAGTGATATCAACTGATGGTAGTAGGTTCCTATTCTTGTCAGCGAAAATAAATTTCACGAATAAATCGTGCGTTCTTTCGTCTCTCACTAACCTCAACCAAAGTCTCTTGATAGGCATAATGGATCTTGAATTTGATCTAATTTACAAATTATAATTCAAGCTGGATGAATAATCTCACTAAGATAATCTTAGCTTGTCCTAACCCTTAGGTTTATCATGAAACAGGATCCAAATGATTTAATTTTTTTAAAGTTAATAATATATTAAGGTATGTCCAAAATCTTCTTTTTTTTAAATTCAAAAAATTTTAATGAAATTGTATGTTAATAAATTTTTAAAATTTTTACAATTATATTTTGGACATATTTTTATAATAAAAAAAGAAGCTTATTTCTTCTATTTCGATAAAATTTCCAAAATTTGCAAATCGAATTTTTTATTTTAGATACACCTTATGTAGTGAGAAATAATGTAAATTATGAACTAAATGACATTTTGAAACCTAAACGGCGTGTGATCTGGTTCAAGCAGAATTTTGTATTTAGTGATGGCCGATAGACCCATTATTTTTCCAACACTTTTAGAAGCAGTTTGAGTTTCTGGTTCCAATTCGTCAGAAGAAGAAGTGGCGGTCATTTTGTGTTTTAACGGGTTTATCTTTGTTTTATGAGACTTGTCTGATAAGTTTTTTTCTGGAAAAGTAAAAATAAATTTAAAGGTTAATAAAAAATATAACTTAGAAAGAATTTATTTTTAAGATTGCTTATATTTAATTTTTATGCGATAAACGCTAACCTTCGTTTATTTATTTTATTACTTTTAAATGCAGGATTTTTATTCAGTCTCCTTTCTAATTTTTGCGAAATCTCCACGTAACCTTTCTTTAACGATGTAAAAATGTAAACTCTAAGCAAAAAACACATCAATTAAGTTGTAAAAGAATATTGATTAAATTAAATATAATACGAATCAAGTTAGATTTAAGATGGAGCGAAGAGATAACATCAGAGATCTTAAGTCCGGACCTAAACCTGGCTATGCCTAAATATTTTTTTGTATAAAACCTGGGCTGGGCCAATTTAAAAAAAATAAATTTAAATCATGTTGGAAAATCATGATGCATTCAATATTTATTTACTGCTCAAATTTTCATCCCTTTGAAAAAAATATATAACAAAAAAAATACAACCGATATTCAAAAATACTATATTTTTCTCTATAAAATACATATACGATCTAAAAAATGGTATCATAAGATATTTTTCATATAATTGATATGCTTTTAATAACTGCATGGTTCCTCCATCGAAAGGATTATAAATTTCTAAGACTTCCAACTAAAATTTATATATTTTAATATTTCAAGGGCTACCTAAATAAACTAATTTCCATTAAATGTGTATTATAAGGAAAAAAGGAAATACAGCAAAGATTTCAGAGAAGGCTATGGCAGGATAAAATTTATGATTATTAGGTCAGTAGAGCTCGAAAAAGGTGGTTGTTAAATTATGTATTTCTTTAATATAGCTATAATAAATATTTTTTTAAATATTAGCAACAAAAAGATTTCTCTTGCGTTAACTATTAATAATTTCAGTTTCAATCTTATTCTAATATCATTATTGTAGCTGGCTTGTTAAGTGATGGGAGTCTAATTAACCTATCAATAATTAAGAGTTTGTTTTCCAAGTATATTTTAGGTTTATTAAATAATAAAAATAATTTTATTACCTAAAATTATATTCGATTTTTATATATTAGTTCAATGTTGAAAAAGGGAGCGCGAAATAATCAATTTCAAAAATAATATTAATTTATTTAAGAAGCTACAAATTTAAGAAGATTTTAAATCTACAAATGTTTACGATTTACTTCGCATTCCCTCTTGTCCTTGTTTTTGCTGATCCGCGCACGCCATTACCTCATTGTCACCTTCTACGTACCCTATGAGTTGCAAAGTATCCAGATTACCGTAAACTTCGTATAGTCTTTTGGCAAGCCCCTTTTCCCACCTCTCCAATAAGCAAAGGTAAGCGTGAATACGTGGATTAGTGTGGGAAGGAAGCGATTCCGGTCCGGCATTTAAACCTGTTTTAGATTTTTTTCATCCAACGAATATCAAATACATTGTATAAAGATGGTTATGAAAGGTTTAAAAAAATATTATCATCACATATTTATTATTATTTTTTTGTAAACGAATTATAAAATTCTATAAAGACGATTTAGCTATTTTTTGAAAAACAAAAGCTAAAAGGAGCGTTAGAGCGCAAAATGCTAAAAGATGGAAAGCCAAAAATTGAGCGTGGCATATTTTCCCCTCAAAATTTGAATATTTTGAAGCGTTTGTAGATTAATTTTTTTTCCTGCTGTATTAATTCGTAATAATTTCCATATTTTAAAGTAACAGGTCTAGGTGTCTCTATGATATACTTAAAATTACCCTGTAAAATTTATATATATTTATAGTTTCAAATGAAACGCTCTGGTATGATCTTAGCCTACTTTTTCATTTAAAAAATACTTTCAATATATGAAGTCTATCACTCGCGAAAAATAAGAAAACTATATATATGATATAAAAATTTAAATAATTTGAATGATAGAATTTTAAATAAAAAGTTACTCTTTTTTTAACACTCCAAAAATATTGATAAAAAAAAGAAATGCTTGAGTTAAAACATTCAGTTATTATAATAAATGATAAAAGGAATAATATTTTTTAAAAAAATGCGAAACCCAGAACATCGACCAAAAATGTCCCGACTTCTATCAAAGCGCATCGAACACAAGAGAGGCGAATAAGGGTCCAGGCAAAACTGTCTGGATCGATGTGTTGAGCTTTTTTTAAATAAAGGTATCATATTACAATATTATATTAAATTCTTTTGGTTAGTACTTATATTGCCAATTAGTAGTTTATAAGTCATCCTCTTACATGATAGAATTAAGTATATGAAATGACATGAACATAAAAAATTAATGAAGTATTTGGCAGCAAACATTCCCAGGTAAAATAAATGTTACAGGGGCAATGATAGAAATAAAACAACCAGTGGTAACTATGAAGGTAGATTATAATAGTCAGGAGTCAGAACAATGATTAAATTTTTAAAAAAGACGTTTATTTGTTAATGTCTGACCAAAAAAAACAGAATAGTGATTAAAGAGATTAAAAAAAGGTATATTTTAATAGAGTATAAAATAGTATATTTTTTTTTATGGATGAAAGGTATTTAATAAATTTATATTTTATTATTAAAGGAAAAAAAAGGATTTATAACAAAGAATTTTTTTAAAAAAAGGTTTTATTTTTTGGTATACTTCTTAAACTTAAATTATTAATTTATTTATAACAGAGACCTGCAGAGGTCCAAATTTTAGGCCAGACCCAGATTGATCATTTTTGATCGTTTAATGGCCTGGCTTAGAATTTTTTAAAATTTCGTTATTTTAAATAATTTGCAAAATTGTTTCAAAGATAAATTGAAATAAATGAGTAGTAGTAAATGAATATTTAACATTCTAAATATATGATTTTCCAACATGTAAACAAGTGATTAATTGATATAATTTAAAATACGGCCTGTATATCTGAGCATGTAGGTCTCTGATTTTATAAAAATAGTGTAACGGTAAATTATTATGATTTAAAATCTTCAGTCGTTTCATTATATTTATCTAAATAATGTATAACTTTGTTTATTTTGATTGAGTAGTTTTTAAATATAAAGATTTGTGAAATATATGGGTGAAGTTTTTTTTAACCTTAGTTAACTAATATACGAATTTTTTTTAATTTCTATTTTATTTTGAAAAAGAAACTTCAAATTTATGTAAGTCAAGGTTTTATTATAGACTAATTTTTTTTTGTGCTTAATATTCAGAGTTTAATAAAATCGAGTCTTTTATTTTAGAAAATTTTGACATAAATTATAATTACCCTTAACATTTTATATCTAAGAAATAATAAATTAAAATAAATATATATTTGATAAAATTTCAACATAATAGTTTCAAATCTGTATTTGTCATACACATCCCATCTGAGGTTAACACTTTTTCCACCCGAGTATTGAAGGGTATTAAAAAAATATCACAAAATTTTGAAATCGATTCCGTTTGTATAAATATATTTACTATCGTTTGCCGAAGTATTATCATCTGGTACATTAGTCTCGTTCTCGTCTTCGTCTAAAGAATCATCTGATTCGTAGTTTAAAACATCTAAAGGCAGACTATCCTCCTTTGATGGCTTTTATAAGTTAAATTAAAAGAAAATTTTAAAGTTATTTAATTACATTCATTTATTCCGTCGAAGAAATATATTTATTCAATTCATATGCTATATATCTCTTTAAAAGATTACCTTTTGAAATATACGGGCAAATATATGCTTGGTAGGGGGTACAAAAATTTTTGCTTTTATTGGGTTGTTGGTTGGTCTAGGTGGAGGGATTGGTGAATTCGTTTGTTGTGCACCTCTCAATTTTTCTGTTTATTATAAGACGAACATATAAATATATTTATATAAATTTGTATAATTTCTGAAAAATATGATGTAAACAAAAATGTTCGCGGCAAAAAAATCTTTTCCTTCCTTCAGCGAAAAATATTGAAATCCCTATTCCCCCGCTTTATATTTTTCTTAGAAAAGCAAACAAATAACATAATTACCTCCTTCATTTGTGGCTGAAGACTTCGTCAATAGATAGGCATCAACACAATAGCCGAATGTCTTTTTCCACAGACTTCTATCCAACTTAAGGCAGGTTATTCTGTATAACAAGCAGGCATCGAAGGTAGTGAGGGCCGTTAAGAAGCAGGAAGCATGAATAGCTAGGAGACATTCAGCTAAGAGAAGTCTCAAATCTTTCCATGAACAATGCATCATGAGTTGGTTTCCCTCGAGAATATTTTGAGTATTGATATTATGGTGATACGACGAAGGAAGGGGAGCTTTATTTCTGTTGATTAGATTTGGGCTTGGGGTGTTAAGTGCGGAATCGGGTGTGGAATTAGAAATTGGGTTAGATAGACCTAATTAAAGTTTTTTTAAAAATATAATGCCGGGTTTCTTTCTGAAGTTATTTATTTTGAACAAGAGTTGAAAAAAATTTTCTTTTTATATGCTTTGAAGCGGCGAATAAAAAATGAAAATGATATTGATTTTTTTAAAGGTAAAAATTTTTCCCGATTTTACAACCAGAAAATAAATGTATGGATATCAGGTAATTTTATTAAAAACTGTTAACTTAAAAGCAGAAATCTGAAAACCCAATCCAAAATTGGTCCTAAAATGAGATTAAAAAAAACTCAGAAAAATTGGACTTTTGCAAGACTTTGTTTTAATGGAAGTAAAAAAATGCAATCTATTGATGAATGAATGTCTACCTAAAAAAACATCGTTTATAGGATAATTATTTGAGAAATGGGCAACATCAATATAATGTAAATTTTTAAATTGATTTGATTTATAGAGATGACCAAATTGAGATAATTACACTAAAAATATAAGGACTATAAAGATTATTATTACAAGGCCAATTAGTTGTGTCAATATGCTCATCAGTAGAAGGCATTACTACGATATCGTCCAAAATCTTTTCTTCGTCTCCATTTTCCGTTTCAATGATCTTAAATAAACCAATATGGCTGTTGGCGTAAGGACACGTTAGAATTAAATAATCATGATTTAAAGTATAAAAATAGATAAAATATTCATGTTACCAAAATTTCGATATGTGAATATGTAAAATTTAATGAATATGCTTGTCTAATTTGAGGAAATAAATTTGGTCTCCCGAATCCTGAAGGTTTTCAGATTGTGGCATAACAAGTTGAGTGGTATATTTAGAAATCATGTCAAAAAAAATATTATTGACAAGCACATTAAATAAATGTTTTTCTATAAAAAAGATTAGGGTCATTTCGATTAAATATCTTCCCAGCCCAATAATTTTAAGTGGTGGGCCGGAAAAAAGCATACTAATCTCAAAAAGCTGATTCGAACGGTGCTGATTACAAAGTTCGATATACTATTATTTTTTCAAATCGTGTTTATGTAATAATTAATTAACTTGGCAGTTTTATCGGGTCGACCTTTTTTAGTGGCATATAAATATTTCCACCAAAAATTGAGTATAACGTCGAACTCGGAATTGCATATCCTATCTAGACTGGTTGATGAAACAATCATGATGGAAGGAGGGAAGGAAGTATTTAAAGTGTTTTTAGAATCTTTTGCAAAATCAAGTGTTTTCGAGACTTTGCCTTCACTAATCGGTGGCATATTCGGAGATTTGATAGAACTTCGGACTAAAAAAATAATATTAAAATTGATTGAATTATTGAATACGATTTTAACCGTGATAGGTAATCTTATATTATAACTTTAAACTGACTTACTATACGATATATTAAAAAAATGTTATAATTTTCAAATTGGAGGTTGGTATTATTTTTCGCCCTGGAGGGTATAAAAAAATAATTTAAATTATTCTACAGGTAAATCTGCGGCCTAAGATCATTGATATAGATTATTGTTTAAAAACTAATATTTAAATATTAATTAAATAAAATTTACTATTGTTGCATATTTTTTTAAAATTTTTATAGTAAAATAGATTTTGCTTTATTTTTTAAGTTTGATAACCTTTATTTCTTTTATAAACTATTTATTAAAATATAAAAACTTAACGTAAATATATGAGTGATTCAAAAAGATATTCTTTATATTATCATTCACGTAAATTTTTTTGTCATGTTACCGCTTTATATAAGTGTAAATTTTTTTAACCCAAATAGAGCTTATACATTTTACAATAATGATGTTTAAATATTATTTTACCACTATCTATGATATCGGCTTTTATATCTTCGACTGAACGCTTATCAAAGTTGAAATGAGTGTTTGTTTTTTTGTTAAGGTTACCATCGATTGATTTATCTGCAAGAGGAGGAATATCAGTTTGGTTCCCTAAGCTCATTAAATTAGCGGAGAAAGTCTGTGGCACTGGGTTTAAGGGTGTTAGATATTGAAATAAACACAAGGAAAGAGAATGGCTGGCGTCCTGAGTTGCGAGAAGACGATTCCAGTTGGCGGCGGACGATTTCAAATAATCTTCATTTTTATATATGGTAAGTATGTTATGTCATTTGGGCAAGTTTATGTTTTTAATTTCGCAAATATAAAAGGTTTTTCGTCCATAAGAGGAAGGATTTCGGAAAGTTGTAATCACAAAAAGATGCATCTAAAATGCACAACATTTTTTACTTTCCCTTAAAAAGATTATATTAATTTACGTGTAAATTTTGCGAGGCGGGGAATGCGGAGGGGGGTCAATATCCAGTTCCGTACCCAGAATAATATAATAGTATTTTACCATTTTCAAAATTCATTAGCTAGTGTTTGCAGTGGTCTGGGTCTCTTCTGACTATCGGATCTCATGGGACGGTACGGTCCGACAGAAGACCGATAAAAGAAGATAAATGTTTACTAAGAATTCTTTTTTGATTAATGTACACATATATACCCTATCCACACAAATAAGAAAACATCTATAAATGTCACTCTGAATCAATTGTTGAATACAATTTGAAGAAATATTTATAAGTTAAACAACTGATGATGCTTAAAACTCAGAGACTAATGAGAACTTACATGAGTCCAAGTTCATTTGCAGCATATGGATGTATGGCACATGTGTTTAACATTACTTGCTAGAATATTTTAAAGAATATTGAGGAAGTTATTGTGAAAGTAAGAATGGTTACAATAAACATCTCTCAAAGTCGATTATTATTTCAAAAATAAATATCACTACTTAAAGAGGGATTGGATAAAATACCTACTACCCGCTGGAAATCAATGTCGGTGAAGGTCCTTACAGTAAAGAAATCTATCTCTTTTTATTTAATAGGATTCTATATTTTTTATTATTGTTAGAATTCTGAATTTAATAGCTTTGGTAACATTGTCCTAACAAATGACGATAAAAATATAATAGAGGAACTAATTTCGTTATTAAAGTCCTTTATGAAACTACAGGGGATTTATCTAAATTCTCTTATCCTACCATTGATTGATTAAATAATCTTTTATTTAGTATTTTTAAATGGTTCATCTCTTATTTAAACATATGTCTAATGAAATCCAAAGATATTTATCCGATTTTTATACCCAAATAATTCACATATATTGGATGGGTGGGAAGAAAATCAATATCGATTTTCAATTCTGGTCAAAATAGACTATCTCCAACAGGAAGCTATATCAATAGCATGTGAATGAATCTTTTCTAAAGCCAGTAATAAATAATCAAAAAAATGAAATAGAACTGATCCAAAAATGGTTTAATCTCTAATGACACTTAAAACATGGATAAAAAATGGAATTATTTTTGATTTTTTAGAAGATAATTAGAATATTTATATAAATTAATTTTATTTTATAACCAAATATCTCATTATATATATCAAAAACTAATTATATATGCAAATTTATTTGTTAAAAAAACCATATTGGTTTAATATTATTTTGAAATATTAGGCAATTGTATTGTATAATATTATAAAAATTATTTGATGATATGATTAATATTGGTAATCTAACATATATTTTTAATAAATTTAATGTAGTATAAAGCTTTGATATCTTAAAAAAAATTATTTTAGATGGGACCGGACAGAATTGGACCGACGGCCCCACGGTCTGGTCTCACCTGACTTAACGGTACATCTGCCCAGTCTCATTTTAGAAAAAAACCGTTGCAAATACTAATTAGTATACTTATTCTTTTCCTTTTTCGTCATTTCGTTTTTTATAAAATGGTTTCTCGATTATTCTTTATATATATAATAAATGATACATCCTTAAACATCTCTTTATACAAATAATTAGATTTACCGTCTGAACCAAAATTGTAGGTATTTCCTAAATTCTGGGGCCCAGGGGGTAAACAGGATCCGGTGCCGAACCCAGAGTCAAGAACAGAAATCATTATATCTTTGCAAGAGTCCCTAATCAATGTGAAAGGAGTTTCGTCGGGAAGCAAACTGGTTATAAAATATTGTTGTAATTTAAATTTAAATAAATGAGATATTTATTATACAAATATTTTAAAAGATAAGCATTCTTATAATAATTAAATTACTGTTATCGAATTCGGAAGATTAAAAATAAGGTGTATTGTTTATGGACAATGGTTAATTTAAAAAAAAATACATTAATTAAAATGCGACATTATAAATTAAATATGATTGCAAGGTATTTGAAAAATTATCATTACAAGTAAAACAGATGAAAAAGTAAAAATTGTAAAACGATATATATAACTATCATGCTGTAGATAATTTTGGGAATCTACTTAATATAAACGGATGTATAATAAACAACAAAGTAGATGCATTTTTCCGTTTTTTTTCAAAATTAAAAGTACGGAAAATTATACCATGAGCGATCCTGTTTTATATTTTCATTCAATTGTTCTGAGTCGACGTCCGGTTGGGAAGAGGTAGAATTATAAGAGTCATTCTCATTCCATTGTTTAAAAAGATCAATCAGATATGGAATTTCGTTCAAAATTGGCACATCTTTTAAAAGAAAAGAGTATAAAAAATTATCAGTATGTTCGATGATTAATAGCAATTTTATCATTACATAACTATAATTCTCCAGATTTTCCAAACCCAAAAAAAGATTTTAATTAAGTTGGTATTTTTTTGGTATAGAACCCAGCCCTGTTTAGCATATCTCACTCTCAATTAATTTAAGGAAATAAATAAGTGGTAGTTATCATAAAGAGAGAAGGATAACAAGATATTAGAAAGAAATAAATAAATAAAATAGAAAAATAAATATATTGTAAAAGAAACACTTAATCAAATTTCAAAATGGTCACTCGATAATGTGAGCAGCCAATTATAGTTGGACATAATGATCTTAGATCAAATAAGAAAGATAAATAGAAAAATTTTAAAAACTTTCGACCGACGAAGCGTGAAGCTGATTACGATCTGGCATTCTTGTCTGCTTAGACCGAATATCACGATCTATCTTGCTGAGTAAGGCCGATAGCTGCATCTTAACGTACGCCAAGATACCCACGGGTTTGCGTAAGCAGATAAATGAATGCAAGGTGCGCAAAATGTTCTCATTTTCCATGAGCCATCCATCTCTACCCAAATCGAAAGAGGTTTTTAGGAGCATGTCTTTCGATTCTAGGTAAACATTATTTTTAGTTTAGAAAAATATTTTCTCTTAATGGTTATAAAAAATAATATATTGTTGATGAGTTTGAAAGACATAATTTGTATATACGTGAATAATTTATAATTAACTATAAATAATTAAATTTAAAACGAGTGCTATTTAATCAGACTATTAGATAATTTTAAGGCCTTTATTATATTCAAAAAAACTTTTATATGGCACTTTGGCCAATGTTACAATATTTAGGCTCTAAATGAAAACAATATATATCAGGGATGTGAACCCGGACCCGGAACCCTCCTGAACCCTAGTATTTTGGCGTAACCCGAACCCTTTTAAAAAGTGGAGGGTCCAAGGGTTCAGGGTAAAAAATTTTAACATATAATTATTATTTTTTTAATAATGTAAAAATATTTATTAAAAAATAATATAAAATTTTTATAATTTTATTAATTTTTTTCGCGGAATCATTTATTTTATCTTCGCGTTTTTCTTTCGTTTTTCCTGGACTTCATTTCATTTTATTTAGATATTGATATTGATACCATAAATTATTTTCTAGTGTAAATAATAATATTTTATAATGAATCGAAAAAAATACAAGCAAAAATAATAAAAGAAACAAAAAACAAATTAATTTCATTAAAAATTGATTCCGCCCAAAGATTAGGTAGAAATATTCTAGGAATAAATATACAGTATATAAAAGGAAATAATATAATATTAAGAAATTAAGCTATGAAGGAGATTAAAGAGAGTTCAACTTCTGAAAATATAAAAATAATGATATTAGAAACATTAAATAAATTTCATATTCCTATAAGAAACGTTTATACAATTACTACGGATAATGGTGCTAATCTAGTAAACTGGAAGAAATGAATGATATAGATGATGATGATGAAAATTATGAGGACATCAGTGAAATTGATTTACAGGAAATAATAAAAGATTTCTTCACAAAAATATACTGTATCAGATGTACAGCCCATACGCTACAATTGGCTATTAATGATTCCCTAAAAAATAATCACTTTAAAACTATAATTGATAAAGCAAGGGATGTTGTAAAATATTTAAGAACTCCCACAATTGTAAGATTATTAAAATCTATGAAAAGGCAAATGGCAATATTAGATTGCACAACAAGTTGATCCTCTATTTGTATAATGCTAGTGCTATTAATAAGTTTGAAAGATTTTTGTAATGATTTTATTATAGGAGTATGTTAAGTCATTTTGTCGGAAGATGATTGGAATTAAATAAAAGACCTTACTAGTATATTGGTTCCTTTAAAAATAACTACATTGTTATGTTTATCGGATTTTAATGGCATATGGATAAGATTTTCGATTAGAGTTAGAAAGATTTAGAAGTTCTTTTTCATATGAAGTATTAGAAAATACGAAAATTAGATAGCAACAATATTTACAAAATAGTGTCTTCAATATATTTTGACCCTCGATATCAAGTTTTATTAAGTATTGAGCAAAAGCAAATGGCTATTATCCATCTTGAGGATTTATGGTATACCCAAAACTCTATTATTTACAATATATTGGAGGCTACGACAATATCTACTGGTTGTAGCGATAACAATGATAATGATAACAATATTGATGATCTGGAAATTTTACTATTAGATAGAGAAAAAAATAATTAAATTATCATCAGATAGAAAGGAGCATAAAATATCTATTGTATCTTTAATAGAAAAGCTCTCAGAAGTTAAGAGAATAAATAGAGATACAAATATTTTAAAATTCTGGGAGGAAAATTCTTCAATATATCCAGAATATACCTTATCTAGAATCTTCATGTGTGTACCGGCGACACAAGTTCAATAATTTATGTATTATAAAAATGACAATCTATTTTGAGTAAGTGTAGAACGTGGATTTTCATCGTTGAAATATATATTGTCAAATTTACGTGGAAATATGAAGGATGATAGTTTAGAAGATATCATGATTCTGCGATTGAATAAAATATTTAAAATATAAATTATTTCATTTTGAATTATGAATGTGTAATATTGAAGTATAATAAAAAATGAATGGAAAAAAAAGTCTTATTTTGAGACATTATTTTTATGTTCCCTGAACCCGGACCCGGGTCCTTTTTAAATTTATTACTGGACCCGAACCCGGACCCTTTTTTTTGTCGAAGGGTTCACATCCATGATATATATTCCTTCTTATAATTTGCAATAGGAATAAGATCTAAATTATATAAACCGGATTCAAGATTCTCTTATAATAGTTTAATAATAACATGTAAAAATGATAGTTTTTAAAAAAATATTCATTTTTATAATTTCTAAACGCTAAGAATGAATGAACTAATTAGTGAATATAATTCAAAAATTGATATATAACGTGAAAAATTAAGATTTCCTAAATTTTAAAATATTAATTAGCATTTCAACATTTGTGCTTTCAGCCACATCCATTATTTAAATAATTATATATATTTTGGCGTTACTGTGTTTTTCCCGGCAGTGTGTTATTTTTTCAAATTTAAATCATTTTTTGAGCGCTTTTTTTTAAATTTCAAAATCTGATTTTTTGGAAATGTATGCCGACATGTTTGGAATACTTACTCAGATAATTTTTTAAACTTAATATAATTTATATTAAATTTTCCATATATTTTTTATAAAAATTATAAATGACTCAAAGGTCAACATCAAAATTGTCTACAATTAGGTATTCCAAGCATGATGAAATATATTTCTGGTAGATTTTAAAATTTAATGATTTAAAGTTGTAAAAATAACACATTGCCGGGAAAAACACATTGAGGCTAATATATATATACAATATATAATACTTTGATTATAAATATGGCAATATTTAGTGAGAGCGTCTATTTCTTTTTCGAGCCATATGCAAAATCTCAGCCATACCCGGCACGAATTTTCACGTTTTTTTTCTATTTTTTTCCATAATCTTTGCGCACCTTTTGTAAGAGTAAAAAAAGTAATCTGTATAGAAGTTGTGTTGTATATTTCGAATTCTAATAAATCAATTTATAAAGGATAAATATTTAATTTATTGAATAATATTGTTAAACGGCTCGATCTAACTAATATTTTAAACAAATTAATATTATGCAAGCCTCGAGATTTCGCGAATAGATCAATCTTTCTTCCATCTATGAGCAAAATCTCCAGGCTTGCGTAATATTTCTTGGCTAAAATTTAGAGTTAGCCGTTTTAAAAATCGATCTGTTTAACAACATTACTACCGAAAATATCGTATAGGTTAGGTCTTAATTTAACTATCATCTTTTAACAGTAAAAATTTTATATTTAACCATTTTTTATATGGTTTATGTTATAAAATTATATTTGTTATTTTGATTTTGAAATGTTTTGTATTTATACAAATATATCTTTTAATATTTTATGTCTCTTTATTTATTTCATGCTAACGGAAACAAAATATACAGATAAGGAAATCATATCATATTAGGAAAAATATAAAATTACAAAAATAAATATTTCAAAAAAATAATAATAAACTAATCGTATACACTTTCTAAATAATGATTAAATATTAAAAAAAGATGGATGATGAATGAATTAAATCTTTAATTCAAATTTAATTTGTTGATAGTGACTGAAATATTAAAAATATATTTTAAAAAAAATTCCAAGATTTCAATTAGCATCATTTTTCATATTTAGAAAAACAAATCGAATGTTCGTTTTTCTACTTGATAGTGTTGGGAAATATAAAGGCCTACTCGAAATCTAAATAATCTGCTGGGGAAAAGGGCAAGAGGAAATCATAAGGAAATTTAATTAATACTTATTTTTTTAATTTTAAAAATCATTTATTTATAAACAAAGTTAAATTGTAAGTCAAAAATAATTTTATGAGGCCGAGTTTCAATTAAATCTACCGACAAAATTAATTTCTAGGAATGAATTACGAAGAAAGTACACAAAATATTTTAGAAATAGCTAAAGTATATTTTTATATCAGAATTAACAATATTAATTTGCAGGGCTTGAGCCCCTATTACCTTTCACCCCCATGATACATTAAATAAAAAATTAAAATGACATTAAAAATAAAAAAATTAGGTAAACAATTTAAAAAAGAAAATAAGGTTCTCATTGAAATCCGAGAAAACTAATAGCGATTTGAGTTGATTGTAACTAAAAGAAGATCCATAACCATAAATTTGGGATTTTTTTAAACCTAAAACCTTAAAAAAATGATAGCCTAGGAAGTCTAGGGACCCATTGGTAAAAATAAATATTGGGATAAAATGAAAATCAGAAAAGTTGTGATAATTTCTAATAATTCAATACAAATATTATAAAACATTTACATAATCTTAAAATATGATACATATTATATATATATATATATATACAATTTCCTTGTTTTTGTCAAGTTAGTGGGAATTAGAATGGATATAACGAGAAATTCTGATCAATTAAATAAATTATCAACCAAACTTTCAAAGGTGTATGCCTTCTTATCAAACATGAATATTAATCATAAAATTATATTCATATCCTACGGTATAAGAATAATTATTTTAAAAAATCGCAGCCTCCAACAAGGGCAGTGCCCCATTAGCGACATCCTAGAACCGACTATCTTAATCATTAAACCCAAAAGCTAATCATGTTTAAGAAGAAATAACAGGCATAAACGATTATTTTAATATTTTGATGGCAACGGTGAAAATACCAAAACTCCGATTTTATATATTTACTTTTATTGGCAGGTATATCTCTCCTATTAGCTATTTTAGAAAAATCGTCTGCACCACTGGTTTCGGAAGTTGATGATTGGTCATCTTCCCCACTCGAATCACTTGTGGAATAATCAATATCGTCTGCTTCAAAAAATGTGGTGTTACCAAAAGTAGCTAGCATCTCGTGTCCCATGATTTTGAGGCATGCCGTCCATTTCAGTTGGTACATCATGACATCATCCGAGCTCATGGAATTATCATTTGCGGGCAATGCAGTATTATTATCTTATTTTTAAGGTATTTTAAGAGAAATTTAGATTATCAAGTTTGAATGTTATATATTTTATGAACATTTGTAATAATTCGAAAGAATAATGTTAATTTACTCTTCGCCTCATTTTATAATTCATATTCGATTTGAAATTTTTGAATGGAATACCAATAACAAATAATTTTTCAATAGGCCTACTTAGCATAAGAGCGTAAAAACGCTCTTATTTCATATTTAATGCAAGCTTTAAAAATTTACTGTACTTGGTTGATGATTACTAAAGAGAACTCTCATTTGTGAAATAATGTTGTCAGGAAATGCTTTAAAAAAATATAGATGATATTAAAAGTAAAACCTTCAATAGGAGTGCCTTTATTTAGTTATCACTTCTTATGAATAATCCAATTATACATAAATATCATAATATTTTAATTCCGAACTTAAAGTTTCCCAATTGGTGATAAAAGTCTACAAAAAACGAACTACCTTATATAATAATAACCAACTTAAAAGGGGAAAAAAATTTCGGACTATCGAAAACGTGTCTACAATATAAAAAGATTTAAACTTGAATTAGCTTCATTTAGTTCGCATATATTTTTGAACGAGAGACGGTTCAGAATCTCCAGAGCCAAAATAGGGCAGCCAATCTTAATATAAGTATAAGCGCAAGCGAAATAAAGATGCCTTTCTTGAGGATTTATGGTATGAGAACCTTTATAAAAAATATGTTTTCTATCTTATCTGATTCTAAAATAAAATATATATGTAAAAATTATTCCATGGGCGTGCGATTTAAAATAGTAATCGATCGATATTTTCCGCTTGAGCCCTTAAAATATATTTCGTACAAGTTGTCCCACCTTGCCCGTAACAAATTTTGCCTAATTATCAGCTTTTAAAAATTTTAAAAACTGGCCCGGTCAGTAAAAATATACTGCAATTTATTGGGCTGGAAAATTTTTTAACACGGCCCGAATGGATCGCGCCGACCTATAATGATTATATTTCAATTTTTTTATAATTTCAAATTGAATAAACATTTTCGAGTGGTGTTTTCAGGGTAAATTAAGACTTTAAATAAGATATATTACTATAAAATTATTTTAGGGTTTATAGTGGTTTAACTCGCTTTTCTATTTAGGGAGGTGGAAATCTTTTCTATTTTAAGGATCCTAAGTACCCTTTTGAAGATAATAACCGATATTTGTAACTATGTATATAAATATTAAGAAATTAAGTTAATATGGATTAAAATATCCTAATAACTATGGCTCCCTAGATTAAATAGTCTTATGGTGGAATAATTAAATATAAAATATGTCTATATAGTGACCCAGCTTTTGAAAATTGTCAATAAAATATTTGTGTAATCTAAATTTTCCTCTTCTCATTTACGACATCTACCTTTATTTGAATAAATCCGTTTCCTTAGGTATTGGTAAAAGTTGAAAATGCTGGTTATATCGAACATTCGGTCCATGCTCAAGAAAAAAGAAGACGGTGGTTCGCGAGTTTCTGTTATAGAACTCATGCGTCGGCGAGAGAAAATGTTTTTATTTGTGCCATTAGCGGTAAGTTTAGCAGATAATAATGGAGGAATGGAATCACGAGGAAAGGTAGCAAACAAATCTTTCGGGTAGCTATGAGATTTAGAATCTTTGTCGTTATTAACATCGTTAATATCAATATTATTGACTACTTGCTCGGTTTCCTGGTCACTGTGTTCCGGTGATAGAGCGAATTTAACGGTTCCTTTCCTAATAAAATAATAAAAATGACATGATTATTTAAGTACGTGAATGAATGAGAGATAAGACGTGTTAAAAGTAACGGAAAAAAACTTTGAGACATAATTTCAGTAATATGACAAAAATTTTGACTGCCATTTAAGATAATTTTAAAAAAATTAGGCTCAATAAAATGAGTTTACAGATATTGATAACTTTACCAACAATAAAAAACGATAATAATGGAGAAAAATATAAATAATAAAAGTCTTTACAATAATCAGAACTGCAGGCTAGGCCCTAAACCCAGCCATACAGGCCGTATTTTAATTCTGTTAAATATACCGGGGCCGGGCTTAAAATCCTTTTTAAAAAAATACCCGGGTCAGGCCGAATATTTTAAAACGCCATTATTATTTATAAAAATTAAAAATATAATTTTAAAAAATCGCCAGGCTAAATTCTTCTTTAAAATCCGAGTGGGCCGTGCAAATGATAATTCTGCCGATTATTTTTATAGGATTATGGTATAGTTAAGTCAAATATCGCTAAAAGGTAAACATTTAGTAATTGAATTATTGTGAAATTGGCAGTAATAGTTTAGGAAATTTATATTTTTGTGATTTTTATAATTATATTCGTAACTCAATTATTTAAAAAAATGTTTGTTATAAATGTCAAAGAGAAGTACTTTTTAGCAACTTTTTCATCTTTAGCAGAGGGCAAATCATCATGGCGTCTTTCTTGTTCCCCGTCATTTGTTTCCAAATCATCATGGTGTTTTTCCTGTTTCTCACCATTTGATTCTTTCTCTCCCTCTCGATCTACTTCCATCAACCTTTGATTGTAAGCTTTAATGGCTTCGGCACTGTTTCTCCGTTCCCTCGAATCAGATTTATTAAGGGTGAAACGTTTATTGTACTTGGGAGGCGCTAGGGTGTCGAGAAAGATCTTGAGCGATGCCAGATATTGACCAGATATCCACAAGCATATGCTCAAGATAAAAGGGTCACCTTGCCGGGCTTCGCATAGTTCGAACGAATGAGGAGGTAGATCTAAGATGGTCTTTTGTAAATCCTGTTGGTCGTTAAGTTTGAGATGCGATGTAGAGTCCGGGTATAATTGAGAACTGGATTTGAAAATATTTTTTAATAATTAATAATCCGAAACCTGCAAAATAAAAAAAAACTTCTATTCGAGCTCCCCATGGCCCAATCTTTTTAATAATTTCATGATTTATCTATTTAATTATATTTATTACAAAATATTATATGGAAATGTTTATTCATTTTATAATTGTGATATTCAATTAGGCTAAAAAATAATAATATTAATTTTCGGGCCACGAGCTGGGCCTATATTTTATTGATGATATTGCTTTTATATGGCTGCAAATTTTTACTTTAATTTTAATATACTATATGCATTTAGTTATGAAAACAAAAATTCGATTATCAAGCTTTTTTATTTAACAAAAGAAGAAAAATTAACATCAAAATAATTTAAACATAATTCTCGTCTTTATTAAACGTTCTATATCACAAAATCTATATTAACATAAAATTATATCCATTATTTTTATAATATAATACTTAAAGGGTATAAAATAACAATATCAATTTTTAATTTATCTTAATTTAATCTTATTATTTAAATTATAACTTTAATATGAATAAACATCATGTGACAATCTCAACATTTACCACCGGCCTGACCCACGCTGATGGGTAGCCCTAGTGGACTCTAACCCTAATTTAAAATAAGCATAGGAAGGCGAAGGGTGCATTTAGGTATATCGTTAAATTAAAATTTAGGCACAATATAAATAAATAATGGTCACGTTCAAAAAATCATAATCTTATCTTATTTTTAATAGGACCTCTAGATCATAATACAGTTCATTGTGACAATTTTAGATAAAAAACATATTTTTATTTATAGTTTTTGTAACAAAAAAGGTAACGGAATAACTTATACTTACTAAAGAGGGTCGGAAGCTAAGAAGAATTGTACGAATCTCAATTCACAAGCATTGGCACTGTATTGATTATCGGGTTTAACGTCGATTTTTATCTGATCAGAATTTTTATTCCTTTCGGTATTGGAATTTAATATTATATTTTGTTCATTTTTCATATTAGGATTAAGATTTTTGCTGGAAAAATTTAAAATGTTATTGCCGTCAAAATTATCTTCGACATTAGCGGACCTAGGTTTTCTACCAAAACCAATGAGAGAACCGGGCTTCGGTTTGTATATGTGTTGCGCCTTTTTATTTTGAGAATTTTCATTTTTAGCATCAATATCGAAATTTGCAATCAAGGGATTATTATCGTCATTTGAAGAGCTGGTTCCAACTTTCCTACCAAAACCTATAAGAGAGCCAGGCTTTTTAGCAATATTCTCAAAGTTATCGGTGGTATCTGATGTAGGTATAAGGGAAGCTCGAGGTGAATAAGGTTCCGAGGTTTCTGATGCATAAATAGATATGTTTACGGGTTATATGAAAAATGCGAATCACGAAATAGTCAAATAATAACTATAATAAAGTAAACTAAATTTTATTGAATTTACTTGAAGGACAAAAAGACAATGAATTAATTCTTAGTATATAATATTAACATAATACTACTATATCTATCTGAAAAATGACTCGGAGCTTCTTGTCCTTTATTCTTACAATATTTTTAAGATCAGTATATTTATGGGAAAATTAGATATATGACTTACGATCTATATTAGGGTCTTTTTGAGATTCTTCTATATATAGTTTGCATATAATCAACGCCAGTTGAATATCTTTCAGGTATTTCAAACAAACCTACCAAAATTAAGTTCAATGCTATATGGTATTTTCATACGATATTTTTAATATCTCAAATTTTTATGTGAATATTAAATAATAATCAGGTTGTTACATTTATTAACATCAGTCATATAATTTAATAATTTTAAACTTAAACATCCTATTATTTCAATAGGCAAAATTTTAAATATATTAGATAGAAACTTCTATAATTTAGAGCAATAATATTTATAAACAATTCGTTTTCTATAAAAAAAAAACAAACTTGTATAGCATCGTTAAGCGAATGGCCCAACAAGAAAAACGCCACGGCCAAATGGTATTTGTGTTTGCCTAATAACGCGAATGCATTTTTATCAGCGGCTCGTCTCCATTTGAGCTGTGTAAAGTCTTGCCTAAAGAATTCGTACATTTTGCTGTTTTGCGAAGATCTTATTTGTCGAGATGATTGTTAGAAGGAAAGACATAAAAAATGATATTAAAACCCATTTTCAAAAACGTGTTTGATTCGGGTTCACTTGAAGATAGGTTCGGGTTCAGTATAAAAAAATCCCATAGAAACCGGTTCACAGCTCCGGGTTTGGTTCGACTGATTTTTATTGTATATAATTATTTTTCGGATTTTTACATTAACAAAATTCCTTGTACAACTTAAATGGTTTTATTGGAACTTTAACTATAAATAAATCTACTCTTTCTTATTTTGTTCCACCAATCTTTTCCTATTATATAATTTTTTTCAAAATCTCTTCCCTATCTTCTCCATTTTGCATCTCATTTACACTCACTTAAAAAGTCCCTGAATAACCGTCTTTTTCCCGAGTAAAATGAAGTAAAGACAGGCGTCCAATGGATCCTTGTTGATTTGAAACGAATGTTTAGCAATGTTTTCTATTAAATTAACGAGAGTAGACCTGTCGCTCAACCACCAACCGCACCCATATTTTCTGAATTCCTCCCAAGTAAAATTCCCTTTCTGTTTATAAAATAAAATTTTATTGAATAATGCATGTCATAACTTTTTTAAAAGTAGTTTGGTACGCTAAGGTAGTAGTTTAGATTCTAAAATAATTCTTTTTGGTAAATTTTTATAATATATAAGTCATTATTATTAGTATTTTGCTAGGATTTTCATTTTTTTATATTTTTTACTAAGTTTTATAAACTTTTAAAATATAAGATTTTAGGGAAGAGTAAAAATATATAATAAATTCTTTTTTAGCGGATAAAATTTAGCACATTTTTATTTACAAACTTAAGCAATTTGGATTCTCATTATTTTAACATGCGATTAAATCAGATCCCTTTTTACTTTTATTAATGTCTATTAAAGTTAATCAATGTGCTACTTTTGTGACAGTTTTTACTTTGTTAAAAGGAAACTAGTTAAGTTAAAGGAGATAATTGGTTACTTAATTAATTATTTATTTATAAAGAACACTAGGTTAAATTAGTATAATATATAATTCTTTAAAAATGATGATACATTTATAAATAGTATACTTTTCAAATTTGAAATAATATTTACCTAGTTAACATTGTTGTAAATGAAGTAATAGTATTTATTTAATTAAAAGGTTTATAATAATAATAAAATTTTTATATCATTTTAAAGATTTTTAAAAAAAATGTGTTTCTTAAATATTTATATATATATAATCATTGTATCTAAGAACAAACTTGAAAAGCCGGAATGAGCCTCAAACAAGCTGCTTGAGTGCCGGAGTGGAGAGCCCAAGCAAATGCAGAAGATTTCATTAACGGAGTCGATATCTTGTTTTTATAAATGTCAGTTCTGTTTCGGGAAGTGGACAATTTTTTAGCGGCTGAATTGAGGTTCAAGTAATTGAATTGCCTCATGGCTATGCAATATCTTAAACCAGGCCCATCTAATTTATCATCCTGTTCTTGATTCTTCACGATGTCCTCTTCCATATTTCCTCCATCAACTGGAGTGTGGTTTTTACGATCTTCCACTTCATAATTACTGGTCAAGAAGGAATCATCGTTCATGAGTGATTTATCATTATCCGCATTTTTTATTGTTTTAGGGATTTCGTTGGATTCCTTTTGGATAACCCAAGCTACCTATAGAGATTTTTTTAATTAATAATTATAAAAACTTGGACAAAACAGTGGTGTAATGACTTTGAAAGCTGAGGAAGGGTCTGCTCTCTCCTATTCAGATCCCTCTTAATCTATAGATATTCGATTCGAAATTTACGCTCAAATAACAAATTAATTGATTTGAAAAATTCGAATTGAATATGAATAATACTACGTACGATTTATCGGTTAAATATTTAAATTATTGGTTAATTTGAAAATTTGCAGAAGTTCATAATTACTAATTATTTTATAAATTAAAACAATTCTATTCAAATATTATATATTTTCTGGCACTAGTGATATTAATACTTTTTAATCGTGATAATGACTTTTTATAGGCATTTAAAACCAAAAATAATCGGTCCGGCCTTCAGTCTCTATAATCGAGTCCGTGGTTTGATTCGGTCTTTAAAATCGGCTCTAACCCGATCCGACCTATGACCTTCACTAAAGGAGATGATTTTTTTCTTTCTATCTTTCCATTTTTTTGCTATTTCTTCCCTTTTATATTTACCGTATCAGCCAAAGCGAGCAACTGCGCTTGTTCAAGTGCGCTAATTTCTGGAAGCGAAATACGAGTCAAATAACGTGTTAGGATATTAACTTCTTTCCGACCGAATGATATTCGATGATCGCTGTTGTTTTTATTTGAAATTTTAGATGTTTTTTTTTAAATGATAAATATTTATTCGATAATATTAAAAAAGGTTGGTGATATTGGTTGTTGATTTAAAGGTTGGTATAATATGTAAAATTTCACTTTAAAATGATACAAATTTAATTTAAGAAACCCTTTAAAATAAAAAAAAATAAATATTACATTTTTCTCTCTAAAATAAAATAATCATTTAGAATTAACCAAAAAATGTTATAAATTCCATCCCAACCTGTTATCGTCTGTTTCCTTGGACGAAATGGGCGATGAGTCGTCTAATTCTGTTTTAGTTGGCTTGGGCAAATCGTCCTCGCCTTTTTAAAAAAATTGCAAATATAATTGATTTAGTTAATTATTTTAAGTTTAACCTGATCCGAGACTAGATCTACTAGCAATTTTTGCACCTCCATCGGGCTCAACTTTATCGACCCCGACTCTTTTGTTCATGAGAGTGATACTTTTGCTTCTGCTCCTACTCCTAGATCGAATGGATAACATGCTACCACTCCTTTCCCTTGGCTTTGTAGAAGTAGAAATTTGTACCTTTTTGATCAAAATTGGATGTAGAGTTAAATAAAAGAATTGGTTAATATTTTTAGGCCATAAGTTTTATAAGGTAATATAAAATATAAGAATCTAGGTTTTAAAAAATGATAATTGAATCTTATTTTGCAACTTCATTTAAATTTAGCATTCATTTTAATTATTAAAATGCGTCCATGATCAAAATATTAGCAAGGTGTTTTAGCCAAAAATGTCTTAAATTGAATAACACGCAATGCAAATATAATCTATATAATTTACGCTCCTAGAGAAATTGTATACATATCTTATTTTTAATAAATGGGACAAATAAATTATATATATCTTTATCTGATATTATATAAGAAAAAAAACGTTCGATTCCTCATCTGTATCTGGTGAGCCGCTCAATTGTCGTCTGATTTCTTGAATGTAAGCCATAGATGAACTGGAAGTCCCAGACAATTTAGTGGAGTCGAGTGTTAGGAATACGAACATGGGAAGAGGGGGAATCGATTCTACCTCGAAATAACCTTATTTTTTATTGTTTAATTAATTATTATATTATAATGGATGTTTTCAAATTGGCATATTTTTCCCAAATTACCTATATCACCGGAAATGTCCGGTAGACGATAAAATATATCATGTTTCACGAGCCCTGCCATTTTGGATGAGGATATTTCAGAATTAGAAAAATCGTTACGAGACAATGCCATAGAAGCAGCCCTGTTTCTGGTACCTTTGAATTAAACGAATAAAAAAATTGAAACAATAAATGAATGAACATTCCTTTCCCCTCTCTCTATATTATCTATATTTTCGCGTATCATATCAATACCGTGAAACTTTTTCCGTGAAACTTTTTCCGTGAAATGCATTACCGCGAATGTTGATTACCGCTAAAACATTATCGCGAATCATTACAGCGAATGTATTATCACAAAGGCATTACAGCGAATGAATTATCGCAAATGCAATATCGCGAATGCATTATCACGTATACAATAGTGATTTATATTTGACAAATGGTTGATATAATTAATATAAAGTATTAAAATTCTTTGCTACTTATCCACTTACTTTCTAATAAGGATTTCATTATTAATATGTTTCTATTTTTTAAATATATCGAAAATCATAATTTTGTTTTTTTCTGGCCGATAAATTTTTCCACCGGATCTCTATTTCCTGAGGAAACTCTTGAGACTCTAATTATATTGTAACTAATTTAGCAAGTTTAGACCTTTTTCAAAAAACCAGAGAACCAGTCTAATTACGTTTCTATATTTTTTCCTCAATTTTTTTTAATAATTACATTAAGTCGTTTTTCAGAAAATTTGAAATACTAATATTTCACAAAAAATAAGACTCTCATTTATTCTTATTTATTTAGAAATTGGCTATACGTGTTCCCATTATGTTGCTCTTTTTTCAAATTTTTTTCGTAATTATAAATTATAATGCAAAACACAAAGCATACTCTGAGATCCATAAAATTATTAAAATAATAAATATAATTAATGTAATTAATCTATCCTTTTTTTTCTTGTATAATACCTAACAATAAACGTCAATTCGATAATTTCTTGCTAGATTAAGGGGAATAATTTATTAATTTAGTCTATAAAATTCAAAAGGTTGTAGCCTATTACTTGATAATTTTTCGGTATATGGAACCTTCTTAAAAGCTTGTTGAACTGGATGAATATTAAACTTTTTCCTAGAGAATTCAGGAATTACTTTATTGCAATTTTTCTTTTCATGCCTCTTCTCTTGATAAAATACTTAGTTTACAAAATTATCGTATGTTTATAAATATATTTTTTTATACGGTCTTGCTTTCGACTATAAAAAGTGGAATCTAAATGATAAGTTCGTTTCAGCTTGTTTAATTATTTTTAATATCCGCCTATGCTTGCTTTTAAAACTTTTGTTTTAAATCATTCTATAAAACCTCTTTTAGTCTGGAAGAATGCACATTTAGAAAAATATGAAAGCATAAAAATGTAAAAAAGAGATATTTTCCGCCTTTCGATATTTTAGGGTTGTACATCTACTCCTTGAAGTAAACAACATTGTTTTGCGAGAACAAAGATTGCACTCATAAAGTAAATATTTTATTCCATGAAATTTTCTCATCTTCAGAACAAGATGATGATAGTAATGCACAATCATTGTTATCGCCACTCTAATAGAATTTATGACATTGGCCAGATTAATAAAATATAGCAACTGAACTGAAATGGAAATATACTATAATTTTATTAAAAGTAGCTGTTATTTTAATAATATAGGAAGCATGTTCAATTCATTCAATTTTAGTTAAACTTTTATTTGATATGTTTCTATATCCATTTTTATACAATTTTGTATTTAATCACATAACTAAAAAAAAGACTCGTCAGGAATCAAGAACCTAACAAGAATCAATTAAGTAAATCATTTTTATATTATTTCTCCCAATTCCTGAGTCACAATAATAGCATTTCATCATCTGAGATTACATGAATTAAGTTCTGAGATATGTAGCCATTCAATTTACAATCTAACTATGATGCTGAATATTGTTTCATGTTTGTTGTTATAAGCCTTGGACTTGTCTTTTTGATTAAACAATAAGAGAACTTTATGCAAATTTATTATCAAAAAATGCTTATTAAGTCAATACTAAATCCCTCACTAATTAAAGCATTTTGTCAAAGAATAATATAAATGATTTCCGTGGACTAATTATCTGTTTGGTTCAATGTTTAAAATAAGACTTTTCATAGGACCTTGCAAATTTAATTTATTTCAGCCAAAGTTCCATCTAAAATCTTTAATTATTTTAGCCTAGCTATTATTTTAAATTTTAGGCCTGGGTGTGTCCTGTCCCAAATTTAATTAGAAAATATAACTAAACGCAACAATCAATTAATATAAAAATTAAATTCCTTTACCCTAATCCTAGAGAAACCTCATTTGTTGCTTAGAATCTTTTTTATATATTTTGAGTCAAAACAATAAAAAACCTAGCCCTATTTTAAAAAAAATAAAATATTTTTAGACCCAAGCCCAACTTTAACTTAATTTCCAGGTTCAACAAAGTCTGTCTAAAGACCGATAAATATAAAATTGTAATTTTCATAAACTTAATTCCCAATTTTGCAACTAATGTAATTCAGATAATACAATCGCGGTAATGCATTCACGATTATGCATTTGCGTCAATGCATTTGTAATGTATTCGCTAACATGAATTCGCGTTAATGCACTCGCTATATTAAATTCGCTTTAATATTTTAGCGATAATGCCTTAGCGCACGATAATTCATTCGCTCTAATGTATTCGCTATAATATTTTTGCCGTATTATATTCGCTATAATGCATTCGTGATAATGCATTCGCTATAAAATTATTTCGCGGTAATCGACATTCGCGATAATACATTTCGCGCTAAAATTTTCGCAGTATTAATAGATAACCATATTTTTGATATATTTTTCTCAACCAATCCAATGTTTAAACCTTGCAAGGACACGTGTTCCATCTTGCTTCTAGAGGCTGCAAGGGCTGAGGCCCTATCAGATAACCCCAGGAATCTGGTCAGATATCCCAAAACGAGAACCACTGTTTCTATTTGACCGCAGCCCAACAATTCTGTTAATTGCTTAGGGTGGTATTGGGGCAGTACGTTACCTCCGAAAAGGGATTCTAATCCATTATTTTGATTTTGTAATTTGCTAAAGGTAAAATCTTCTTCCAAAATTTTGAACGTTTCAGGGTTATTTTTATGGTAATGATGTTGCATAATTTTCAAAGGATTGGCTAATATGGTGGTATTATTAAGAGAAGGTGGGGTAAAAGGACCAGGAATTTTGAAACTGTTTTTTAGATTGATCGTATCTTTGTCAGAATTATTCGATCGATTCTCACTTTGAACATCTTTAATTTTTACATTCAAAATGGGTAGATTAGATCTACTGCCCAATTTTGAAAGCCCAGAAGCAGCCGAAGAATTCCTGTGGGAAGCCAAATTCAAGAGGGAAGATTTTTTACGTTTTGATACGGTCTTTTTATCAATAGACGGACTCGCCAAAGTATCTAAAGAGGGTTCTGAAGATCGTGCTTTTATTCCCTGATGCTGAATTGCCTGAAAACTCAAGCTTTTCGATCTTTCAGCATCTTTTGCATTAGATAATTTGGAGGCGGGATTGAATTCATTGAAATCTGCCATGGTACTGCCTGTGGTATTAGCCCAATGAGAAAATACGAGCAAGGCGTGATCGCGTGATACTACAAAAGCACCCTCCCTGACCCAAGCGGAACATAATCGTGGTATTACATAACTACTGCTATTATCATCTATGGTAGGAATCATCTTGTAATTATGCGCGTCACTACTCCCATATTGAATTCCAGGTTCGGTGATACCTTAAAAAGACATGGTATTTTTAAAATAACTAGATTATTATTAGAATATTAGATTAATGTAATATTACTCTAACCATTCTGTAGTAGTGTATTAATTTGATATATTTTTAGCAATGTATTTTAAATTAATTTCAAACCTTGAAAAACTAGCCTCCATTTGCGATCTGCCAGTAATGAGGGGTTCTCAAGGCTTTTCGTAAAAGCACCCGAACTGATAGAACTAGATGTGGCGTTATTGTCTTGCGAAAAATAGGCGTATACCGAAAGTTTTTCCCTCGAAAGTTGTTGGGTAGATTGCTTAATGCTTAAATCGGAATTCAAGGGTCGATAGGTAGGTAAGGAAGTTGAGATGAAAAGCAGATGAGAGCCATCCTCCGTTGGAACCCATTCTACCCTCACATGACTAGACGGACTTCATTTAAACAATATTTTTAGGATAAACTTTAAATTACCGTTTGTTAATAAACTTGAAGAAATAGAGTCTGTTTAATTTGATAAAAAAAATTGTGCTCAGATAAGTAAAATAAAACGCTATAAAATATTTAAAGGAAAATCGTTTCTACTCCGACTAAGTTGTTGAAATCAAAAAAATTGTTTTTATTGACAATTTTATAATAAGACAGCTACCCAAAGTAGAAAGTAAATAACAATCAAGAACTCAAATCAAAATAATTTGCATTGTATTTGTGTCTTACTTGTATATAAATACATATGCAATGGCTTATAATATTTCCTACTAGAGAAGAGTCTTTACAGAAAAATTATATTCTTTTATCCATTTTGGATATGTTGTATTCCATATCAAATCAACTGAAGATTCAACCCGACCCCCTTTGATTTTTTTTAAATTTGTATGATGGTAGTATATACACTAACTAGTAAAAATATAAAATTTGAATTCTCAACATAGCTTACTTCGTGAGATATAGCCATCTTTAGAAATGCGGAAATTCCAAAATACAATATATTTAATTTTAAATATCTCAAAAAGTAATTAAACTAAAAACATGATTTAAATTTAATTAAATAGCTCTAGAATAGCTCTTTAATATGACATAAAATTTATTTTATTTAAAAAAAATTTTACCAAAAACCGGAAATAGAAAACCGGAAATGGCTATAAAATAAAAATTGCTCTTTTTTTCTTTTAAATTTTTTTACAGATAGACATTATACTTCTTAATATTTGTACAAAATCCTAGATTGGGACGAGTACTGGGCCAAAAGTTATTACACATCTAAATATAAGTAGCATGGCTTAAATCCTATATTATACCAAATATAGAGTAATTCTTTTTTAAAAAAAGTGGGCAATATATGTGAGTAAAAGCATTAAAACTAAAATCCTAAAAAATCTGATTATTTTGCATTTATAAAATGCTAAAAAACTCAAATCAACATTTACCAAATTGTATTGTATTATTTTAAATATAACGCATAAAACCAAGTAGAATAATTCCGAATGACGGTGCAAATAAAGTAATAGAATTTTATAATTCTGATGAAAACAGCAGACTTATGCCAGGTATGAATAATTTTATATCAATGAAAGTTAATGGAAAAAAGAACCAAGTGCAAAAGAGATTAGTTTCATGTAATATAAAAAAATTATTTACCAATTTTAAAGAAATAAACAGTAATATAAAGATAGGTTTTAGCAAGCTTGCTATCATGAGACTAAAAAACTGTATTTTAGCAGGCGGGTCTGGAACGCATACAATGTGCATCTGCACATTTCATAAAAATTTTAACTTAATTATAATTGGTGGTAAATTAGATAAGTTAACTGCAAACTTTCCATTTCCTCCCTTAAAAGATTATAAACACTACATTGCAGAAAGTCTATGCAATCCAGCCCAGCCTTGCTGTTACTTAAGGAAATGCCCAATGTGTCCTGGCACTTTGGAACTTAAAGAAAGACTACACTTATTGTTTGATAATAATGTCATATATTATATAACATTTAAACATTGGTTGGCGGCTGACCGTACTACACTCGAAACTTTAACAAAGTCCGCCAACGAATTTGTGGAGTATTTGATTGAAAAATTAAATATTTAAATTCATCATACATTTATTTCTTCGAAACAATCATTTTTTAAGTCATTAAAATCGAATTTGAAGGATATGTAATATCTAATAATATATGATTTTGCAGAGAACTACGCTTTTGTAGTTCAAGATCACACTCAAGGTTTCCATTGGACTAATAATCAGGCAACACTTCATCCATTTATGATTTATTACCGCAAAGGCGATATCATCAATCATTTAAGTTACGTGATTATATCAGATTGTCTCAAACACAATACTTGTTCCTTTCATTTATATCAAATAAAATTAATTCTATTCTTGAAAGAAAGATTTGATTTTGCAATAATATTTTATTTTTCTGAGAGAGTTGTTACCCTTAATAAAAACAAAAAAAATTTGTAAACCTCTACAACCATTATAATGATTAATGTCTACTAGTGATCTGCATAAGGCCTAATTTTTTTAACACGGCCAGAAAAATTTATAAAAAAATATATCCGGCCCGATCCCAAATGAATTTTCTTTTTATTTGTTTCGTAAATTACTATACATTTGGTATAATATAGGATTTAAGCCATACTACTTATATTTAAAGTGTAATAAATATTGACCCAGTACTCGTCCCAATCTAGGATTTTGTACAAATATTAAGAAGTATAATGTCTATCTGTATAAAAAAAATTAAAAGAAAAAAAAGAGCATTTTTATTTTATAGCCATTTCCGGTTTTCTATTTCCGGTTTTTGGTAATAGACTTTTTTTCAATAAAATAAATTTTATGTCATATTAAAGAGCTATTCTATTTAATAAAATTTAAATCATGTCTATAGCTTAATTACTTTTTGAGATATTTAAAATTAAATATAGTGTATTTTGGAATTTTCGCCTTTCTAAAGATGGCTATATCTCATGAAGTAAGGCGATTTGAAAAGTAAAATTTTATATTTTTATTAGTTAGTGTATATACTACCAACATGCAAATTTTTAAAAAAATGGAAGGGGATTGGGTTGAGAATCTTTTTTGGTTGATTTAATATGGAATACAACATATATTGGATTGTAAAAATATTATTCGATCGATTCATATTAAAAAATGACATTTAGAATTAATAAAAATATTTACACAACTACGGTATTAAATGACCGAAATTGGGTAAAATTGGTTATATAATAGATAATATTACTTTTCGTAAAACTGATCGAATTGGCTTTCTTCATTATCTTGATCCTGTGTGTTATCGTTCTTTGTCTCGGTATTGATAGTGTACAGTATAAGAGGTATTTTATCTTCCAAAATCCAATCAGAGCCACCGGAAGATTCGCATTCGAAAATGAGAGCTTTAAACTTCAGGAAACTGTGCGTTCCTATGCCCAAAAATTGGTTCCCTTCCGGAACTATGGCACATATTCTTCCGCCGGGAAAGGATGAACATGTTACCTATTTTAAGGTTTTCCGTATTTTTTTTATAAGTTATCGACAAAATTTTATTTATAATAATTTAAAAAATCTCTTTATCTTTTTTCTTCAGTTTCCTTCTATTCAATTTTATTCCTTTTTTTGTAGATAAATTGTTTTTTTATAGGAAATAGAAACTTGAAGAGCTGGCAGTTCTAATTTAATAGCACTGGTTCCCCGTCTTTCAGCTACATGACCTCTTATATTTTCTTTATTCGTATCCGGTATAATTCTATACATGTGGGGCATACTCCATTCACGCCATAGGTAACTATCTTTATCTTTAATATAAAGGAAGTTTATTGACAATCAAATATATAATAAAGTAAAAATATTGAAGAAATATATGGTTTTCTACAGAAAGATCGAGCAGTAGCATTTATAAATTTTTGTAAAAAAAGGAAGGAAAGTAGTTCTTCCAATTAAAAAAAAATGAAAAATAATATTAGTTTTGAAAACATTAAGAAATTCGGAAAAAATAAAATTGCGTAACGGATTATAAATGTAAGGGACTTGGAGGCCCGGCCCTAAGCCCCGCATGGGAAATTTTTTAAAATATAGCCAGGCTATTTTAAATCGCCATTATTAACTATAAAAATTAAAAATAAATATAATATATTTTTTAAAAAATTCAAGCTGGATCGGGCAAAATATTTTTTGAAAAAAAAACCGGGCCGGTCTTACTTTTTTTTAAACTCAGGGTCGGGTGGTGAAAATGGTACCTCTGCAGGTCTCTGATAAATATAATAAGTAATGTTTTATCAAATAGAGGACTAGTAATGCCGCCTGGTATATTTTCATAAGCTATGTTAAGCCCAAAGGGTCTTAGTATTTATGAAAATAGAGCGTTCGGCATTCTTATTTGTTATAAAATTATTACAACGCTTCTTATTGTGATATTTTTGTTTTTAGGCCCAGCGGGAGGGGGTGGGGTTAAAAAATTGCTTTTAAACCCGATAGTTCTCTGTTACTTTTAAGCTAAATATTCTCTAACTCCAATAAATTTGAAATATTTCCATAATGTAACTGTTGAGCGAATGCAAAAATCATTAATCTGATATTTTACCTTTGAAACATTTGAGAAATCTAATGGTAGCATCCGAACAAGCCAGACACACGAGATAAGGTGGTAGCATAAACGCTCTGTCATTCTTTTCATTCTCTTTACTTTCATTTGATTTTTTATTTTTGCTTGATTCCATAGAATCAGCAAAATCTGAAGGATTCGTCAAATTTTTACTGGCAAGAGAATTAACGTAAGGGCTGGCCGACACTATGTTAATGTAGTTGGGTAGGCTGAAAACGAGTTTGGGATCTATTTGCGTTTCAGTATATATGTTTTGAACGCTCACCAATTTTATTTGAGGTTGCGAAGAAGCTAAAACGAGATAAACAATAAATGTTAGGTTCACTTGTATTTGACAGGCTTATGATATCAAACCTAAATGGCCAATCAAGCCAAAAATATAGAAATCTTCTATTAAATTCTTTTTAGCGAAACTAATTTTTACTTTAAAGAATAATAAAATTTAAGTTACCAACATGCCAGGATAAAGAATATTGATTTCACGGTTCATCTTAATTAATGAATTATCAAATAACAGTAAAAAGGTTTAAACAGAAATATTGTTAACTCCACTAGGCACTTCTAACATAGGGGAGGGGTAAGGAAGACGGAAGGTCATCATAAAAATCGACGAAGTGTGGGGGGGGGGCAGTTATTGATTTTTGAAAATGATATAATCATTAGAATAAAATGAGAGTGGTAGGGGTGGGAGGTAAATAAATGTAGGGTGGCGCTAATTTTAATTAGAAGGGAGTAGGGAGGCATATCAACATTGGGGTGGGGAGGGGGTGCGTGTAGAACTGCCTGCGCTAGTGTTATTAAACAGCTTGATTCGGCCAATTTTAAATTCAGATTTTATTACTTAAATTTTCAATATAGAAAGGGACCATCTCAAAAATGAATGAAACTTGGCATGTTAGTTATTTATGTTGTAAATTTTAATAAATTCAAAACTTTAGAGCGCTATATATATATTTTCAAAGTCGAAATTGCGTAATGGGTGATTTTATTAAGATTTTTAAAAAAATACTGAAAAATTATACATAGGAAAATATCATAAAAATTCTATGTTTTTATTTCTGGTAAAAATAAAAAATTAACTTAGTTGAAAGGGATTTTTTATTCGCTAGGTATTAACTTTACATTAAATTGTTTAATCAAAAAAATCGATAGGTTTTTTCGTTTTTTAATTTTATTTAAATTTATATAAATATATAATAAAATATAGATGGCGTTATATTTAAAAATGATTTTTATAATATAAAAATAAAAATATGTATTGTATTGTATTAAAATTAAAAAATCCATTGAGTAAAACCAATATGTCATGGGGCAATATGTAAGCAAGCAGCCCATACGGAGATTATAACTAAGATGCTATATTTTAAAATAAAGATATTTTAAAATTTCATATATAAAATAAACCTCCTGTCTTTATCATATTCCATTTTGCGATTAAATAGAAATTTCTGAGCGATAATTTGTAGACATGTCCTGTCTCTGTTATGGAATATACTATTGCTATTATATAATAATGGGCAACCATATTCCTCGATTGTGGGTTAAAAGAAAGATGGTGATAGTCCATGGGGCTGTAAAAAAGAAATACATATCTCCACAATAATTTCATTATTTGTTAGTACTGTGACTATCTACCAAAAATCGTCATAAACACATGATACGAATCCTTTAATATCAACAAAAAAGAAAATTATCGGCATTTGAGATCATGTTAATTTTAAAGTCCTCTGCATATGAATATATTTTTGATTTAAGTTTACTTAAACTCAAAAATATAAAGCGCATTTCCCGACTTCCTTGAATGACGGGAGAGAAATTGAATCTTTATCGTAGTATAATCTCATCTAAATTGTATTGTTAATTGGCTATAAATGTAAAATTTTTATTTCATTTTACAAACTGATATAAATCAACTGTAATTAAAAATCCAGAACTGGTGCGCTGAACGATTGAACGTATCCTTTTAATATTCCTCCAAGGCCGTCGCATGACCTTTTCCATGGGATGTAGCTGGAAAATGCAATACAGCTGCTACGCCAAAATCTAATTCATGGTAACACAGATTTATAAAAATTATGTTTTTATATTGCGCAACTGATATGTCTCGGAACAGATATTTTAATAAAAATAGAGATCCTAAAATTAAAAAGGTTCCAATAATCTAAATAAATTTACCCTTTGTAGATATTTTGAAATGGACTTATGGCCTTTTCTAAAGAATGGATCACTGCATGGACTTCATTGGAAAAAAATAAATTAGATTTTTAAATATATTATAATTTTTGCAGCGCTAAATCATAAAAATTTTGTTAATAAAATAAAATATTTTTTTAAACATTATGCTCTTTTCAATCATTGATTAATAGTTAATTTTCATATTCAATTTAAAAATACCATAGAAAGAAAGGAATAAAAATAAATAAACTGATACTAAATCCTTAATTTTTTTTAAATATTTTAAATCAGATTGGTTGGACAAACAAAATTATTTTTAAAATCTTGGATCGGAGCAGAAAAAATAGGGTTAATGCAGGGCTCAGGTTCCAACGTAGTCCAGCTAATTAATATTTGGCTGAATTAAACAAGAATAAATCCCCGTATAATATATATCAAATTTTTTTTACTAATTATTTCAAGCTTAGCGCCATCCATATTAAAAAACGAAAAAAAGCTATCAATTTTTTTGATTAAAAAGGTATCATATATTCCTAGAGAATATTAACCCCCCCCCCTCTCTAAAAAATCCTTTCTAAACAATGCTATTTTTATTTTCACCGTTTTTTATTTTTTTTTGATATTTTCCAATGTAGAATTTTAAGGGGTATAATATCATAATTATTTCTCTCTTAAAAGATTTAATAAAATCACACTTTACACGATTTTCGACTTTGAAAACGTATAAATTTGGGTTTTTTTAATTTTAAATCATATCAAGTTTCGTTCATTTTAGAGATGGTGGTCAGAAAATCAAGTTTTTTTGGTCGACTTGACATGAAATGACCTATACTTTTATAAAAGAATAATAGTAAATTTAAAAAATGATGCTTCTTCGTTCACTAATATAATTCAAGTCATGATATATCCTAAAATCAAGAATAAGAAAACACTAAAAAAACTACCTTTCCCATTTTCATCGGATGAACTGACAGATGTCATCGTGCTTACAGGAAAATTAATAGACCAGGTGATTATTTTATCTGAATCGTTTTCGACTTCCTCGTCTCTTTCGAGATGTTCGCTTGTCTCATTAACAAAATGATTGTTGTCGCTTGTAGTAGTCTTTTCATTGTAGGAGTCTTCTTGTTGTAAGTTTAAATCGTTAGTTAGAATGAGAACTAGATAGAAGATTATGTTGTTGCATTTAGAGGAAGGAAGAGCAAAGGAAGATGTTTGAAATAACATTTTTCCGTCAAAGACGTGTAGAAATTTGACGGAGTACCCTTGCATGTTCTGGAAAAATAAATAAGATATAAAATTATAGGAAACTAAAAGGAAGGATAGATTTATTATAATAAAGGATATATTTAATAAATTTTATAAAAGGGGAATGATGATTATAAAATTATAAGATTTCGATTATATTAGCTACTTACTTTAACATATCTCCCGAAATCTATCTCACTAATTGAGATCATATTGGCAGTGTTTAACCATTTGCTATCGTAATTAATGGAGTCGGAGAGGTAATTTTGAGAAGATTGGGAAAACCTTTGAGCCATTTTGGTCATTACTGCGGAATGGATTGTAGATGATTTTCTACGAATGTATGAAGTCTTTTTTAGGATAGAAAAGAAAAGATTTATAATGGTAAAGATCCTAGCAAAATTTGGGCATATTTTGCTTAAAAATTGGTTTGGCGAGATTATGACAATATTATTTAGGATCGGCCTATACTAGTGACGCATATTCCTTTTACTTATATATATCTTCCCTTACAATTTTCAGAAGATTATAAATATTGTAGTAATAGAGAAAACCTAGGTGTGATGATTCGAAGATAATTAGGTAAGGAGTGACTAGCAAGACATAATTTCTGTACAAATATCTTAATATAAGGAGTGATTAGAAGGACACAATTTTCGTATGAATATATTTATATGCATCGGGTAAATAGGATTATAAATATAATATAATATAATATAAAGCTTGAAAATTTTTATCTACTTCCTTCGCACCTCCAGAAGAATTTTTCGTTAGTGTTGGAAAGGCGAGTTGAAACATTTGAATACTATTGCCGAAAGGATTTAAGGCTACAAATCCTATTTTTATGCTTGTGTTATTGTTTTCCAAGATAAATATCAAATAATAGTTTAAATAAATCGGGTTTAATAGTTTTTAATATCAAGGTGACAATTTTTAAGAAAGCTTTCTCGATAAAGTGTTCTAACGCTAAATCTTATTACCTACATTTTGTAAAAAAAAATTCAAGCCCTTCCAAAAATTCGAATGTTAAATTCAAATTTTTAACTTATTTAAGTTTAAAAACAAATAGAAAAATGAGATTAAATAAAAATAAACATATATACCTATTAGAGGCCATTATTTGTTGTTTTCCATTACATGTGGAGGTAAAAGATGAAAAGGGAGATGAAAATGAGGGTATCCAAGCAAAGCAACGATTCTTATTACCATTACGCTTCTTATAGTCAAAAGTGGTCTCATTGTTATAAATATTCCCTTTTAGGCCTCCTTTATCGAGATTATTGGTTTGATTGTTGAAAGAAATCCTCTTCGAAGCGAATTCGCTCAGTCCTCCGGATATACCTAAAGGACCGATAGGTTTAAGCTTCCAGACGATGATTTCGCTTTTATATCAAGGTTATAGTATTTAAAATAATCTTTCATTTAACCGAAAAAACTTTGAGGCAGTCTGTATTAGAATGTCTGATCCTTTTTATATAAATTTATATACAAATAAGAATTAAGCAGCTTGGCCTCTATATTAGGGCTGTTCTGTTATAGATTTGGAATCGGCGGCGATATTAATTATCTCCGAAAAAACGGGCCAGATATAATCTAAAATAAAACTAGATCCGATTTTTAAAATAATAAAAAGATCAAAAAATAAACTATACTATTTCCATGGTAAACCTATTTTTATATATAAAAAATGAACACTCTTTTGTATATTTTAATTATTATTTTTATAAGAATTAGCTTCAAATAAAGAATTTATGAACCATTCATGAACATAATTATGGGTTAATCTCAATTTAATTCGCGTATTCAGTGCTTGTAGTAAGATGGAGATTTTAATTATTTGAAATGTATTCTGATGTTTGATCGGGCTAGATAATAAGCATAATGATGTTTAAGGCAAAGAAGCACTCCGAAATTTAGAAGGAAGAATATTCTTGAACACAATAAGTTTATTGATATATTAAATATAATCGTAATGATCAAAAATGATCATATATCTTCAAATCAACTTAAAAATAGATCACCATTACCTGAATATATCGGGACGATATTTTATTAATATTATTATTTGCAATTTGTTTCATTTTATTTAAATATTTTTATAATTCTGTTAACATTTTAAAGGGTTGTGTAAAAAAAATAATAATAACTATGTTCTCCGATATTTGCGAGCATTAACAATAAAAATTTTCCCAGCATTTTGACATTCTAAGCCTCGGACTATAGCATAATCCATATCTTCAAGATTATCGTAATAAAAATGAATCCCAAATTTCTGGTATTGTCTCTCCAATAATGTTGTCAAATGTATTCCTGATTTCGTAAATAGTCGGATATTTTATCAAATGTAAGTAGCGGTATTCTGCCACCATGAAGTTTATCGAGCTTGAGGCACAATGATGTTTAGGTGAAGAAGCACTTTGAAATTTACGATGAAAAATATTCCTGAACACAATAAGTTTATTGGTAAAATATCGCAATGATCAAAAATGATAATCTAGTACAAAAAAAACGTTTATTATATACAAAATAAAAATTATATAATAAAAATAATATAATAAAAATAAAAATAAAATATTTTGCTTCAGATTGTTTTTTGAAGGTAAAATGATATATAAATAAGCTTTAATTTTGAATGACTTCTTAAAGTGAAATGAAATATAAAAACTTATAATAGTTGTTTTGAATATAAAATAAAACATTTTTTAACAGTTTAAAAAAAAAGAAAAAACAGTTTTTATATATCTTAAAACGAAAACTTAAAATTAGAAAGAAACTAAAAATATATAATTTTTTGAATAAGTGATAGATAAAAAAAATTAAAATATATTTATAAAACAAAAAATTTGATTCTTTAACATTTCCCTATTATTTTTTAGTTTCGCATCTCTTATTGTACATTTAGGAGCTGGGAAAACTAAATTATTAGCAAAAGATTATTTATGATGGCAGAATACTGCTACTTACTTTTGATAAAATATCGGACTATTATCGAAATAGGAATGCATTTGACAATATTATTGGACAAGGCTTAGAATGTTGAAATGCCGATGGGAAAATTTTTATTGTTAATCCTCGCAAATATAGGAGAATATAGTTATTATTTATTTTTTTACATAACCCTTTAAAATGTTAACAGAATTATAAAAATATTTAAATAAATGAAACAAATTGCAAATAAATATTAATAAAATATCGTCCCGATATATTCAGGTAATTGTGATCTATTTTTAAGTAGATTTGAAGATATATTTAAGGACTGACAGATATCAGACATCGAAAAAGCTGGATCATTAACAAGATTACCAGATGAAGAATATATCAAGCTAAAATCTATATGCTCACACACAGACTTCATCAATCCAAAGATATTGATTGAAAAATTCAAGTTATTACACCCAAGAAGGTCTACAAGTTCGAACTTAATATTATTTAACGTAGCTGTGCAAGGGAAAAATGAATTATATTAATTGGGTAAGCTGCTTATGTATTTTAAAAAACGAGTGTTCGCTTGATGATAGTAGAGTGTTAGAAAAAATTCAAATAACATCGATCAATAAATATATTAGGCAGAAAATAACATCATATTAGGAGAAGTTCTTAGTTTAAGAGATGATTTTGAAGAGTTAGAATTTAAAGAAGATATAATCGCAAAAATTAACATTTCTTTAAACGAAAATACAGAAGGTGAAACACTGTGAAACATTTAGAAAGGCAAAGAGGTAGGAAGACAAACAAATGGTTAGATATGAATTAATAATAAAAGAACTAAAAAATGGATAGATGATAAAATTATCGAACCTGTTCCGTTGGGCTATTCCTCTCACTCCTATTTTTAAGAGTGATGGCTCACTTCGGCTCTGCGCCGACTTCAAAAATACTATAAACCCTGCTTTGTAAGATTCAAATACACCATGAAATTAAATCATTAATTCAAAAAATTTACAAAGATTGATTTCAAGACTTTCTTCAAGTTCCTATGCATAAAGAGTAAGAGATATATTCAGGATATCAACACACAAAGGATACTACAGATTTTCGCGACTTCCTTTTGGAGCAACAACTATTTTTCAACAAACTATGGACAAAATGATGTTATATTTTATATCGATGATTTAATAATTACTGGAGATAATGATGAAGCATATTTAAACAATATTAAAAAAAATTTCGAGAGAATTACTAAATATGGTTTAATACCTAATTTCACTAAAAGCTTATTTTTAAAAAATGAAATTCGTTTTTTGGGATATGACATCGACGCAAATGGTATAAATCCCAATGGAGATAAAATAAAAGCTATTACAAACATGCCAGGACCTAAAACAAGAGGAAAGCAACATAAAAATTTAACAAATTCTTCACCGACGCTTAATTTTTATGACCTACTGAATTTAAGAAAAAAACATAGAATTAAAATAGAAAAATGTTTTAGAATGCTTATTTTCTAAGAATAAAGGAAAGAAAAATTTTAGTTACATTTTTTTAATTAAATCCAAAAAATAAAATAATTAAAAAATAGGATCGAGTTTTAGGAAAAAATTTCAATATCGGATCAATGAAAATAATTGCGAATCGGACAAGCTCTACTCTGTATATCTTAATTCGAATCAAATAATATATAAAAATTGTTATATAATCACAGCTCTTCAATAGTTTGTTAAGGTATTATGCCTAAAAAATATTTCGTATCAGGTTTCTTTTTTCCCCTGGTAAATTGAATTTTATTTTAGATCGAACTAAGGGGTCATCGACAAACAGAAAGTGAAATATAAAATGAGTACCACCGTTATATTTTAAAATGAACGTAAATATGTAGTTAAAACCTGTCGCATTTTATAAGAGTTTTGTGAGGCCAATCAACTCATTATGTCTAATGAAAAATTAATCACTTAATAATATTTTTTTGAATTTCTTAATTTTTAATTTAAAAACTTGACTGGTGGGCTCAATTTAGGTGAATTGAGGTAGAAAATAAATACCCCTTTAAACTGTAATTGATAAATATCAGAATAATAAATTAATCTTAAAACAAAGAATAATTAATTAAGTAAAAATTCTATATTTCAAATAATAAATATTGACATGTTTCTAAAATTTTCAATTTCAAAGAGCTAAATGAAAAAAAAATTGTCGTGTTACCAGTCGGAAGATGAGAGGATAAGTGGAAGGGACGGATGACTACAAAGGTTGGTGATGGTTTGGGTATGGCCCAATACCTCGCAAATGTGTTCCACGTTTAGGATTCGAGGCATTTCGTACTCTTTGCTAACGTAATTCATCTTAAAGATGATGTGAAAGTATATCAATAAAATATTTGAGTAAAATAGAAATTTTATTAGTGATAATATAGAAATAATTCTCATTTTAAATATTCTTTGATGGGACAGCTTCTTCAGCTTCTAAGGAAAGAATGTTTTCCTCTTTTGGGCTTAATCCAATCCAAATTTGGAAACAAGTTTGAACTATAAAAAGCTGGAAAGTTTATTTTAATGAAAAATAAATATACTAGTTAAAATATTTGAATATTGTTTGTAAGTGTAAAAAAAATATATGATCGAATAAATTAATAAAAAATTATTATTTGTTATATTAAACTCAATCTATTAATATTTAATACAATCGATTATTTATTATTATATGCTAATTAAATGTTATCATTGTTAATGTATTTTCGATTAATATATATACATATCATTTTCGGAGTTGTTCTTTTGAACTTTAAAACTTAATTTATTAAAATAAAATATATATTTTTTAAATATCGAAACCTTTCATTTAACCTTTTAAACATCTCAGTCACTAAATAATTTTTATTTATAAAACTGCTAAAATAAGTTTAAATATTCAAAAATTTGAAGTAAAATATCTAGTGATTTGTAATTAATTAAATTTTATAATTTTTTGCTGAAATAAAAAAAATTGATTTAAAAAAATTAAATATTGATCTCATTTCCTCGGGTGGTAAATTCAAGTTATATAATGAGATACTATTTTAGGGCAAAAAGGAAAATGCTATAAAGGAAAAAAATTCTTACAAGCCATAAATTTAGATTTCCTCTCTTGTTATTGGTGACACAATATAATGGGAATGTGTCGAAATAGTCCCGACTCCAATTTTCCGTTTCAAGATGGATGCCACCATAGTCATGATGTATGGATGAAACTTGGTGGTTGACGTTGAAAGGAATGTTAGGAAGAGGTAAGGAAGGTGAGTTAGCGAGTTTTTTAGAGAATTGATGCGAAAGAACGTCCATAAGTAGTAAGGAATGGTCAGTGAATAATAAATGCCTCTGTTTGAAACCTTTCTCTAAATCTAGTTTACCTATTGTTTTTAATTATGTGATAAATGCAGTTTGAAAAAAGGATTTTTTTCAAAGAAAAATTTCTGATCAAATTTTACCTAATGACAAATAATTCTTGTAAAAAATTTTTCAAGATGAAATCACAAACTTTTTCAATAAAAAATCTTTGCTTAAAACTTTGTGAAGATTTTTTCAAACTATGGATAAATGTGTTAAGGATTTCGCACCAGAGAAAATAAGAGCAAAATAAATGGTATTGTTAAACGTTATTTTTGAAAAGTAAAAGTAACTAGTTACTGCGTCTTTACATTCCAAAATAAAAAGGTATGTTATTTTTTATAAAACTAGTTACTTTTACTTGCAAAATAAATATTTATACTACGTTTAAAAATTTCAGTTTGATAAGTTTTGAAAATTTCACAAATATATTTTTATTTTTCTATTAAAAAGGACTTATTTCGTGTTCTTAAATAAAGTTGAAAGTTTTCGAATAAAATATTTTGATGTTTTGGACACAATTTTCAAAAAATAAACATAAGGGAACCAAATATAAATTCTTATATTTTTTAATGAATGAAAAGAAAATCATTTTAAATGATTGTGCAATTTTACGTTAAAAAATTAGCGTTAGGAAAGCAAAGATTTTATTTTAAATAAGGCTCTGTCCAAAACATCAAAAAATTAAATTCTCAAACTTTCGAAACTTTAATGAAAAAAATTAATAATTTAGATATAAAAACAAAAACATGTCCAAAACATAATTTAACATCAAAATTTTCGAAAGTTATCAAACTTTTGGAATTTTTTTTGAAATGGTTTTGGGAACAAAAAAGAAATTTTTTAAAAACAATCATTAATTAAAATTTTAAAATGTCTAATTGCAATTGTATTATTAAAAATATCCCTTAGCTCAAGATATTTTTATAAGAAATAGCTTATCGAAAAAAGAATAGTAATACGAACTTTACATAATTTCTCTTTCGAGAAATATGAAAAATATGAGTGACTAACTAGATATAGAATTCCAAATATTTAATCCTAATCTAAAATTGCTAATTTATATGAGCCTATTCTCGATTTTTTTAAAATTCACATAACCTGAACAAAATTAAAAATAATGTTTTGAGGTGACGAATTTAAAAAGAATATCGTTAAAATATTGGAATTTTTTAAATTATACTGAATTGATGAAAGGTTTTAGAGTTTTTTCTCTAAAATTATACAAAGTGGACATTTTTTTCTATCTAGTTATAATAAACTTATTGTAGAAACAGGATAAATCAGAATCGATTATCAAATTCATGATATTATAAGCGAAGAATGAAGTTTACTCATTAAAAAAATTAATTGCTACCCTAGTGGTAAACTTTTTTTAAATATGTTTGGTATAAACTTAAAGCAAATGTGTTAGGTAAATCGAACATGAAGGATAATTTTGGGTGTTGTACGTATCCCGGAAGATATTCGTCTATCCATTCAACTTTCCTAAAAGAAAATTTTAATATTTCAAAATTAGATAAAACTTGACTTTTTATTTAAAACTTTGCTTTATTTCCATTTTTTAATAATTATATTGATCTTAACGATTTTTTTGATACTCATAACCACCATTTTTCTTATTTTATCACACTCGGTTTATGTTGGTTATATTTTTAAATCAAAATAAATATTGAACCAAATCAATTTGAACATTAAAAAGTATTGATAAATATATTCCTTTTGTCTGTTTTTTATTTTGCCATAATTCTATACTTTTTCTATAATTTATTGCCTTTCCTTAAACTTTTCCTTTTATTTCTTGTAAAATAACTGTTTATCAAATTTATGCACTCTTCATAATACAATGATACCGAAATGTTGACAGAGATCCTTTAAGCTAAGAATATTTTAATATTTGTTTTATTTTTTATTTCCCTCCTTTTATATTCCTTTTTTCCTTGCATTCCTGACCTGATTCTTTCATTCTACTATTTCACCCCCCCCCTTCTCAAACTAGAATTTCCGCTAATTACCATAAAAGCAAATCTCCATTGAACGGATGAATTGAATAGAGAATATCGATATTCTGATGCCAGTCTTTAAGCAACGCTTCGATCTCTTTGATCACCTGGTTCTCTAAAATGCTAAATATTTCGTCAGTTCTATCTGTTTCCTTATCAATTACCTGTTATAAGCGTCATTGCATAGGGAGATTTAAAAAGTTTTTAAAATAAAAATTAACCTTTCTTTAGTTAAATAATTTATTATGCATTTAAAAAAAAGAAAGCCATTTAGAACAGTTTACATGCACACGCATAATAATATAGTCAAAAAGACGCTTAGAATAATTAGAAAATTTTCTATAATATTTAAGAAAGAATGTTCGATTATTATATGCTTTCCAGTAAATATTAATATTAATCCACTCACTTTAACAGAATCGAGAAAAAAAACAAAATGAAAAATTAACAAATCATTTATATAACTCCATTGTTATAAATCTCGATTCAAGATTCCAAACAAATACCACTTAAACCTAGTTTTCGCCATAAGAAGGCATTCAGCCATTTTATATAAATTGACTATCATAGTTTTTAATAACACAGGTCATATAACTACTTTAGGAATTTTTTCACATATACAACTAATTTATTTTCAAAAACTTTAAGTTCAAAAATAAGATAAGAAATTTTTATATCTCAGGCAAAAGATCAAAATCAAAATTTTTAAATTTAAATATGAATTCTTATTTGGGTTGGAAACTCAATTATAATATATGTCTTTCACACATTTTTAAATATTTTGTTTTTTTAAAAATATATTTCTTATTTTGATTCTTTAAATGTTTTGAAACTTTTATATAAAACCTATAATAATTAATATCTTTTTAATTAAATGTCACAAGACACTAATTAACATAAAAATGACATCAATTAGGTCAAAAATATATACACTATATAGGATCGATGAATATATCATATTTACATTATCGGCTGGAGAGTTAGCAGTGCTGGAAGTTTTATCGGAAGAATGAGTAAATTGGAGGTCTGGCACATGGGGGGAAGAATGAGACAATTGGATGTCTGGCACATGGGAGGAAGATTGAGTGTGGTGCAAGGTAGGATTGTTATGCAGATAATCGTTTTTGAGCCCATTTGGTGGATTATTGATAGTGTGGCTTAGGGTATCCTTCGATTCGAATGAAGAGGAAGTAGAGAGATTCTTTATGTTATCTGTGATACGAAAAATTAATAAAATAAATAACACTATATTAGCCATAAGATCTTACTTTCATTATTTCACTATTAATTCTTTTCTTTCTTATGCTTAACCTTTCTTTTTTCCTTCATTTTTTCCCCTGTTTATATGTATAAATTTAATACCTTCGTATGAGGATAAAATACGAGATATATTATGATCGCTTTTAGAATGTTTCATCAACATGAGTAAAATCTTTTCACTCCTTAGCGTAAAATGGAATTCCTTGTTATTGAGCCAATGTAACGTTAAGAAGGCTGAAAAGTCTAATAAAACAAATTTGAAAATGTAAAACAGAGTATGATAAATTATTTAAAAATATTTCCCATAAACCCATAAATATTGTTTTAATAATATTATATATATACTATATACTATGGAATTTTTTTTATAATTTATACTTACATTTTTATAATGAAAAAAAAAATCCGATATGTCATAGCAATTTGCTAAAGAATCGTCGATCTATCTATTCTAATTTAGGTAAATTGCTAAGATCGACGACCTTTTCTTAAAATGAAGATCATGATAGAGATCCTTTTGGCTAATGAACGATTCTTCGACCCTATTAAAAATTATCTTTTACTTTTACATAAAATATATTATTAAAATATAATTTTATTAAATCAAATTTTAAAAAAAATATCTATCATTAGTATCCACAAAAATTTATACTATCCCTCATTTTTAGTTTAAATTTTAATCATGACAACATTTTTCTCACAGAAAAAATTTATTCACAATTTATATATACATTTAAATATTAAAGACAAAATTAATTTTTAGGTTTAAACTGTCTATAACTAATGAAGCTGAAGACGCAGATCTGGTAAGAATTTAAATTAATAACGTAGCAGACAAGAAAAATTTGATAATATTGCAGCAATGATTCATCTACTAGATTCAAACTCAATTGACCCTATATTAATCTGGCAAATAAAATTATGTTAAGATTTTGGCTTATTACTCATTTGGAAAAACCAACATGATCAACCATATAAAGAGTTAAATTCCAATGACAATATAATAATTATATGAAATTGAGAGATAACAGCAATGTATTTGCAGTAATGATCCATCAAGTCTAACTCAACCAACCTATAATAATCTGGCACAGAAAGCTATAAAAGACATACTTATTAACTCATTTAGAAAACCAACTTGATCAACCCTATCAAGACTGGAATTCCAGTGATAATATGAATGAGATTGAAATTTTGTTTTTGATAAATATTTCGCAAATTCTAATTCGTTTAAAATATTTTTTTATTCAAATGTAAAATAAGTTAATATTCTTGTTACTTATGTAAATATTAAAAAATAAAATCTTTATAGAATATGATACACATTTGCCTTCAATAGCTTCCTGTAGAGCGCTTGCTTATGAAGGAAAAAATGTTCTTAATGAAAGATCTCGGTGTTTAAATGATATTAATTTAGAAAAAAAAAATATAAGGCATTTATTTATATTAAATGTAGCTCTGGCTATGAATGGTTGGAAGCCATCCCCAGTTCCAATCTCGGGAATGGTGACCAACTATGCATATCCATAGCTCTTGGCCTTGACAATGCAGTGTGCCCTTCTTTGGGTTGATTGTGGCAGTCCACCGAATCGAATGCTTACTATCTCCATAAATTCTCCGGCAGACATCAACCCCGCCATAAATCTATTAACCAAAATTTTCCTGTCCTGAAAAAGTTAATCCATCCACGCTCGAACCAGTAGGACTTTCAATTTGCAGCGAAGTAACCTCTCATTTTCTGCCACAGAAAAGATAGAAACCCTTAAAAAATAAGCTAGCTTCACAAACAGTTTTTATACTAATAGTCACTACCTTAGGGATGTTCGGGAAGGAGGCCCTCAATTTTTTAAAACCATAGCCAAAAAAAAGAGAGATTACAGGTGATCCAACAATGAATTCTATCTTCAAGAAGATTTCGACATTCACTCCTCTCTAGAATGGCATGTTCCTTTTTTAAGTTTATTTTTGAATGTCTTTTATATAAAATTCTTCCATATATTTTATTTTGATATAGTTTATATTGTATCTTATTTTTAAATTGAAAGCGTTTATTAAATAAAATCATTAAAAAATATTTTATATTAAATTAAATATTTTTAAAAAAATTTATTAATATTTTCTGAATATGAACATGAACGAACGTTGAACGCGTTGTTTAGAAATGTTTACCAATAAAATAAACTAATAATATATCTCGTATTAGGATATAGGATTCGTGGTGATTCGGTATCTCTTGATTTTAAATTATTTATTGAGAGGTTATTTTTAATTAAAAAATCGAATGTTATTGAAAATGTATTCCAGCATGTGCAGGGTACCCATACGGTGTATTTCAGATATATTTGCAATAAACCCTTTGTTCTTTTTTATTTATAAAATAAATCTATAAAAAAATTAATATAAAATAATAATAATTAATTTATAGTTCGCGGCAAAAAAATATCCGAAATAAATAGTGTGGGTCTTCTACACATGCTGGAATACCTTTCCAACAAAATTCGATTTTTTAAATTTCAAAATTGCCCTCATTGAAAGATTAAAAATGTGATCACAATATAATTTCGATCCTTGCAAATCGGTAATGCTTGGACAAATTAACAGGAAAATCAGCTAAACCTTTTAAAAGCGAGCAACAAAATTGGCCGAGTTAGCAGTTTTTAGAAAAAAATAATATTTAATAAACCTTTATCGATATTATCCAACTTTGCCACCAGATTGAATTGAAACTTCACTCCGTCGAAATTATCGCCCTTATTATCGGTATTGTCGTTTCCGAGATTTTTCGTTTCGGTTTGTTCGTGAGGGTGATTGGACGAAAAGGACGGCCAATGGGTGAGGTTTAGGAAATTTGAGAAAGATGATTGGCCGAAAGATGAAAGGGAAAAGGTGTTACCTTTGTTGATACTTTTATTGGCAGAGTTGTTAAAGTTAGGATCATCTTTAAGCCTTTTTTTCTTTAGACGGACATTCCCATTCGGCAAGTGACACAGTTCTATGGAATGAATCTTTTGTCTTTTTTAAAAAATATATCATTTAATTCTTTTTCTTTTTTTCCCTCCTTTATAATAATTAAAATCCATCACAGATAAAGGAAAATATTATAAAATGTTATAATATAAATTTTAAAAAATAAAAATATACAATATATTTTTTAAAAAGATAAAGAGTTCCTTGGGAACTCAAATAGTTAGCTCGAATTGCTGAAAAAATTTAAAAAGGAACCATGATTCCCATCCATTAGTTATATTTTTCAGAAAATCGGACTTATGAGCTCATTTGTTGAGATTAATATAGGAATGTTAAAAATTTAAAAGATCATATTTCCTAATTTTTAACCTTTCAAATTATATAAATATAAACTTTTGGTTGGAGAAAAGCTGCCTACATAAGAGAAATCCCAAAGATGTTTTAAGCTAAACCAGGGGATATTAGTAAGACTATCAATTACCATCGAACAAAGATAAGTGAATAGGTTAACGTCGAATCAATTAATTAACAAAAATTAAATTTATTCGAAATTATCAAATTTCTCTAGTAACTGAATAGCCGAGTATGATTTGATAAAAAAATTTAAGTTTAATTTACAGAATTATTTTTATAATAAATCGTCATATCCGGAAGTTATCAACTGAATATTTTTTTAATATTTGCTTATAGAGAGATTAGCCTATAATTGTATTTTGTATATCATAGGGAATATAAATCGGTTTAAATTATTTTGGCAATGAATAGCATTATTTTTCTCTTATATAATTTTAAGCTACTAACATTTTTTGGTTAACTGAAGCAAATACCTAATTCGAATTACTTGCCCCTTTAAATTTCAAAAATGCGTACGAATTTCATTATTAATTATCAAATATTATACGATATATTTATGATTATTTTTAATATCAAATTAAAACATGGGCATGACAGAAAATAATATAATTTTATTTTATATGATTTTTCCTATTTTCATCTGATCATAAATCTACTCTTTAAAAAACCCCGATTTATGAGCTATATTGAAATTAAAATAAAACTAAAACTAAAAAACGGCGTTACATATATAATACAAAACAATTAAATAATTGCAACAGTTTCTAAGCTTTATCTAACATTATTCATATGAAACCTGATATATCTCAGATGCTTGAGTAACCTGAACTTGTATTGATTTTGGTGATGATGGTCTTGCACACCACCCTCATTTCCATTTGCAATATTAGGATCAAGATCATTTGGCGTTGTGTTTCTCCCGTCATTAGCGGTAGGATTATTAATATCGAAATTATTAGGCGTATCTTGCTGCATGGAATAGCGAGAAAAGTTGGAAAAGGTCTTGTACTTTTGGTCATTTTTAAAAGGTGGGAGGGAAGGATTTTTTGTGATTAGCGCACCAGTGGATTTTATGGTGCATTCTTCCCTCCAGATGCGGACGATGTTATCAGTGCAGCATGTGATAAGCACGTTGGGTACTGTGCCCCTTTAATGATAAAAAATAAAATTTATGAGAATTCGTGATGTTTGGATTAGCATTTTCAATCCGCTAAATTTTTAGATAGTTTCGGGTTCGTATCCAAATCAAAATTGTGAAATTAGGTGTTAGGCTTAGGGGAATATTAAAATATCTTTATTTTTTTAAAAAATCTAAATTAAGAAATTATTTATTAACAAATAAATTTTAATATAAAAAGAATTTAAATTAAAAATAATTAATAGACGTGTTAGGTTCGGGTTCACAAGGAGTTCAAAAACGGGTTCGGGTTTAGGCACATGAAAAATCCCTCTGAACCCGATTCACAAGCTACCAGTTGGTTTTGTTCAACACCATAACTTGGGTTGGGACTTGGATTTTGTAATTAAATATTTTGACAACCTTAACGCATTAATAAATCAAAATAACAATTTTCGCTTCTCATATAATTCATCGTTATCATCAAACCATCTATAAAAAAGTCGTGGTAGAAAATTGAGCTTTATTTGAGCTACTCGCCAATAGGGAGACTACCACCACAATAACCACTCAAAAAATGATTATTTTTATATCTAGTTATTTTGTAATTAATATTATTTAGGGGTATGTAACATTAAAAAAGTCGTGGTAGAAAATTGAGCTTTATTTGAGCTACTCGCCAATAGGGAGACTACCACCACAATAACCACTCAAAAAATGATTATTTTTATATCTAGTTATTTTGTAATTAATATTATTTAGAGGTATGTAACATTATATATTTTAAAAAGGCAAACTATCGAGATAACTTAAAAAATAGAGAAAATGGGTGGTAATCCTTGATTTCCAGAGACTTAAAGAGGCCAAAATTTATGACTCAGCCCGAATTTTAAAAAATTTAATTTTCAAGCCCAAAATTATTAAAGATTTTTTTTAAACCTGGCTCAGCGCAGGATTCTTAAAAAATTTCAGTTTTAAGCCCGTCTAGAGATTTTAGGAAATTTTTTGGGCCGGCTAGAAATTTCTAAAATTTTGTTATTTTGAATAATTTTGGCTGTTTTGCAAATTTTTTCAAGGGGAAATATGAACAGTAAATGAATAAGTAAACGCGTGAGTGTTAATTAGTATAATTTAAATTTATTTTTTAATAGGCCAGGTCCGGTTCAGACCGTTTATTAATTCCAAAAAAAATTAGTCGACTGCATTTAAATCGAGTTTAAAAAGCCAAATAAACGACCACTTTTTTTCGATTTTTGAGCGTCCTAGCTAGCCTTCACTAGATGGGAAGAACGCTATGCTTTAAATCTCTTTTTTTAAATGTTATAAAGGGTACACTATTTTAAAATCAATAATATTTTACAAAATTATTACCTAGGCATGTAGTGACTGGTTTGTCTCCATTGAAATGATAAGACGGGTTTGGGATGGTAGAGATACGTGTAAAAAAAGTCCAATTTATTAGATTGGTGTCCTTGATCGGTTTCTAACACTTCATCCTGGGATGGGTTTGCTTTTCGTTCATCTAAATTTATTTTTATGATATTCCATTAATTATACATATAGTATTTATTTTTGTAGGTCTTCAAACTGTCTAAATTAATTAAATTATGTTCACTGTTTGTTCAAACTTTGAATACCTATTATATTTTTGAAATCAGTTATTGAAGATTAAAAAACTAAGGCCCATTTATAGTAAGTGCGAAATATAGCGATGTCGTTCATGGGATGTTCAATCATCGCTAAAAGATAGTATAGCTGTATAATATCGCATTATGTATATTTTGCAATACACATGGCTTGAGAGACATCGAGATATTCCACGCAAACTAGAAAAAAGGCCCATTATTATTAATAGCGATGCAAAATTGCTCCAATTGAGCCATTTTTTTTTTCACCTTTTCTGGTGGTAAGCTCCTTCAACATCTCTCTCCACTTTATGTTATTAATACAATCTCTTTTATCTAATTTATACTTCTTTATATTGGCTCTAACTTTATGGCCCCATTGAAGTTTTGGCCTTCCTCTTTTACGTTTTCCCATCACTTCCAAACTCTTAACTTTATTTCCTATGTAGTTAATAGGCCTTCTCATTGTGTGCCCATACCACCTAAGTCTGTTTACCATTAACTTAGTCTTAATGGGCACTACCTTTAAACTACTTAATATTCTTGTACTGCGCACTTTATCCTTTCTTGTTACCCCAGCAATCATCCTCAGCATTCTCATCTCCATGGTTTGTAGACTTCTCTCGTCTGATTCTTTGGTTGGCCATGTTTCCGAACTATATAGAATAGTTGGTTGTATTATGGAACTGTAAATGTTTCCCTTTAATTTGTGTGGGATTCTTTTATCAAATAGCACTCCAGATAAAGATCTCCACTTTAGCCACCCTTGATTAATCTTACTCTTTTCTATTGTGCCGTTTGTTTGTATAGTGGAGCCCAAATATTTGCAGCTTTCAATTGCCGATATCTGCCATTCATTTATATCAATACTCTCTGTTTCATCTCCTCTTATCACCATATACTCCGTCTTTTCTCTATTTACTTTTAATCCGTGCGTTTCTAGGATATTTATCCAACTCACTAGTCTTTCTTTCATTTCATCCTTAGATTCTGCAAGTATCACAAAATCATCTGCAAATATCATATTCCACGGGACTGTTTGAGGTATAGACTGTGCTAATACATCTATTACTGTAATGAAGAGAAGTGGGCTGAGAGCCGACCCTTGATGAACTCCTTCGGCTATTGTGAAGCCTGCTGAAGTACCTGTTGTGCTACAAACCATTGTTGTATGGCCCATATACATATCCTGTATTATTCTTATATTTATATATGGCTAACTCAATATAACCTCTTCAGGCTTGCGTAATATTTTCTGACTAAAATACTGAGTTACCCCTTTTTAAAAATTGACTCAAATGGAGCAATTTTGCATCAATAGTTGGGTTTAAATAAATTATATTTACCATAGATTTTTAAAAAAAATTATCAATTATAAAATATAATTTGGTTAGGCATTCTAGCAACCGTGTGGTTGTGGTGTGGCTCGATGACTATCGCTAATGCACGATAACGAATGTATTTATCCAAAAACATTATGGCAAATGAATTATCACTCACAAATAAATAACCAAGATCCGATGTGCCCTATGGTTAATTCATAATGGATAGTCATGGTTCGATCAATATTTCAATTTATAAGTGTATTTTTGTTGAAAAGAATTTAATATAAGATAGAAGTAAAAGAAGGCAATCAAATTAAGTTGTGAGTAACAAAGTAATTATATTAGTGGAAATATATTTTTGTCACAGTCAACATCAGCCGTCTCATTTCGTGGAAGTAGTAACCAAATTTTTTAAAATTTGAAAACCAAAAACAAGACAAAAAATAATTTAAATTGTTTATAATTTTATGATTCTAAGGCTAAGATGTATTTAAAAAAAATCTCCAAAAAAAACTCACTAGGGAAAAAAAAGAAAGATGATAATAAATTTTTTTGAATGGTCCGGACAAAGCTCCTTAGACCCCCCTAAGCCAATCAAGTCGAGCCCCTCTACCTAGATGAATAAAAATAATTAAATTATAAAATGGATACTGACTATTTATATATTTGCCCCCCCCCCCTTCCTTGAATTTCAATGACTTAAAAATAACGATGAGTTGAAGTATGGTTAAGTTGACTAAAAATACGAAAGGAAACAGTATATCACAATATTGGATATAGTGTTGAAACGGCACGATTTGAGCTTAATTTTAAAAATGACTAATTTTATCCAGAAAAATATAACGTAAGTCTGAAGATTTTGTTCATAGATGGCACAACGGTTTGGATATCTATTAATGAAATCTCAAGGCTTAGGCAATATTTTTTTGGCTAAAATATTGAGATAGTCGTTTTTTTAAAAATAGGCTCAAATCAAGCCATTTAACAGCTTTTTTTTAGAAAAGCTCTTATATTTTGATTCGAATCTCTTTTTTTTCTCTATTTTTAAATTTCAAATATTATAAATCAAGTTTAATGTTTTTTTTATCAAACGATTACAAATAATCAATCATTTTCTTTGTTAAAAATTTTATCGTTTGGTAAATTTGTGGTGATAAGAATATAAAAGGGGGAACGGAATCGTAATCATGTTATATAACTCGCTTTCCAGAGAAATGACCAGATTTATCTATAAATGGTCATTTTATGAATGTTTATTTTATAGTATATATTTAACAAAGTATATTTTTTTAATTACTTGTTTTCATTTCGAACCATATCTTGATTAGGGGATCTTCCTAAACAAAATTAATCATTAAATATTATTATTTTTAAAAATAAGTGGTATTTAAAATTATTTATTATACTAATTCCTTGTCAATTGTTGCATTTCTTATTTTATATTTTTTTAATGGCATTTTTAAACCTAAATAAGCTTCCAAAAGTTAATTTATTTTCTTTTATCACAATAACAACCATTATAATTTCAAGTTTTTTTAGGAAGGGAGGTACTTGTTATGTTTAAAGAACGATAATTAAGTTTAAAAGCTATCTATGAAAGAAAAAATTAAATATCGCGCTCCCTAAATAGAGACATAGTCGAAAACGAAGTTTCTCTATGTTACTATTTTTAGATTGGGTTTTATTCGGAAATATATAAAAAAATGGCTAGCAATTTACAATTTAAATTAATTTCATTTTAAATATATCATTATTTAATTTTTAAAATATTTCACAGCGAAGAAAAAAAATTTAAAAGATAATTTTGCATCTAAAGTTTTATATTTCAGCAACGATCAATATTTTAAGGAATTCTATCTTTTTTTTTCAATTATCATACATTGTTTTTTTTTCTTTCGATATAGATGAAATAAAATTATATCAGAATCAACTACTATAATAGCAATCCAACTTAAGCGCGTAGCCCAAAATTAGGATTTTTTTAAATAATAAAAAATTTAAAATTAGAATTAGAAAAATAATAATTTGAAGAACAGCTATAAATATATAATCAATTTTTAAAAAACAATTATTGGTTTTATTTTCATCATTCAATTAATATTAATTAAAAAGGGAAAAAATTATACACAATTTGTTGCTATGAAAAAATGAGTCTTGGATATTATAAAGTAGTGGCATTTAAATGAATCATTTATTCTTAATTTATTTATTTTTGGTAAAAAAAATTCATATAGGATGTAATATAATGAAAATATAAAACACACTGTTTCATTGAAATATTAATAAATGTTATAAAATCATAATATATCACAAATTGTTTTATAAATTGAGGTACCTCTCCTTGTCATCTTTCATTTGTTTTTATTTTGTCTTTTGCTTTAGAGTATTTCATTCATAAGGGGAGAAGGGGGGGGGGGCAATTACTATGTAATTCTGGTCAATATGTAGAAAATTTTATTAGTAGTGATTATAAATACAAAAAGTTCGTCAAAAATGGGTCATATTGTCAAGTCTTCTTATAATTATAGTGGAATTAGTTAATGATTGATGTGAACTAAGCTGTTTCAACTTAAATTTTCTTAGAAGATTCGAATATTTATTCGATAAGACATATGAAATCTCTGTAAAATATAAGGAAAAAATTGATGTACCCTTATTCACCCCCCACCTTCCAATCGTACAGATATTTTATAAATGATAGAATTTGGTATATATTAACATCAGGTATTTCTAAAAAAAAACCATTTTATCGCAAACAAAAGAAAATATAGTATTTGTATGAACATTTTTTATTTGCAACTAATTTTTCATAAATCAAATAATAGTTCTTGTTCATCAAAATGATACATTTATTTTCAAAAATCATTTTATTTTTATATAATTTATTAGGAAAAAAAATACCGCGCTTGAGGTAGCAAAATATTGGCCATCAGGCGAAAATTCGACGTGATTTATAGGATTCGGTGATCTGTCGTGTTGTTAAACAAAAAAATGTTTGCCTTTAATGTAAAAAATTTGCTTTTCATTTTCTCTCGCACCCCTCTTTTTACCATTTAAAACTACAAATAACAAAGCATTTAATTAGCACTCACAAAGTTTTCCAAATTTTAACCCACGTACATCCACTTTCATTGAGTTCATTATTATAATTATGACTATTATTTATGTTATTAATATTATCTTCTGCTTCATCGTGAGATTCGTAAGCGTCAGCTCCCAATATAAATTTCGAATTAATCGCATTCATTCCTTCAACTACATATAAAAATTAATATTTAATGTGGTTTAATTATTCGACTTATGGCTATTAAAATTATTTCATTTTTAAATTCATTAAAAAAAATTATATTGATTATAAAAAAAAACTAAAATGTGGATTTATGTTTGGGAAGTTTATATAATCTCAATATTTTTTTTATTTACAATTTGCCAATTTCTTTAAAAAAATAATTTATTATTTTTCCAAAATAAATAATCATAATCACATATTTAAATTTACCGCTGGTGTCCTTCTCTGAGCTAGAATTATTCTGAATACTCTGAGAAGAATTCGTATAACTCCACAAGGAGAGTCCGCATCCACCTGCTAAAAAATAATTACTAAGGCTCAGGCTCAACGAACTGACCCAAAACCCTGATTCTATGACTTGGGTAATTTGCCAGATGTATATGAATTTTTGATCATTGGAATCTGTGTTGGGCTCATTATTTTCTTGGTTTTGTGAGTTGGTTTCCTGAGTAATATTGTTATAAAATTAATCAACATCTTTAGATTTTTTTAAACTAAGTTAAGATTTTTTTATACAACTCAGAAACTTTCACCACAATAGTGGGAAGGGGGTGTACAATAACAATGCAAGAATAAGATCGTTATTGAAATTGAAAGGGAAATGTTATCTGGATGATATCATGATCTGGATAAAATTGAGTGGAGTAGGGGGATAGTTTTGATTTAAATTTCTTTTTTTTTTGCTAATTCGCATTTGGTAAGGGCTAGGAGGAGTTAGGGGTATGGGTAAATCGATTTTGGGTTAGGTGAGGAGCGTGGAAGTCCCTGAATGCATGTGCTCGTCTGTTTATATTAATTAATAAGTTTCAGGTTAAAAATATTGTAAAAAAACTCAAAATAATTTAATGTAAGCAAACTAGGTAAATCTAAACAGACAACTTGAACTATGACTAATGTCTAAAAAATAAAATACAATTTTAAAATATTGTAACAAATTTTTGGAAACATGGTAAAGTTTGAAAGATTATTATTATATAAATTTTTGAATGGATAACCCTGAGTGTCATGAAATAAATAAATGGTTTCACAAAATATTCGCTAAAAAAAGAAGAAGCCGAATCTATAGAAAAAACAAGTATAATATTGGTTTATTAAATTTAGGGGAGGAATATATTTAATAATGGGATGTATAACTATCAAACCTTTTGCGAATCAGGGAGAAGAGTATTGAAATGAACGGGATCTATGATTAATAATACTGTTCCATAGGAAGCTATAATCTATTAATAAAAAAAAGCTTAAGCTTTATTTAAAAAAAATTTCTTTTCTAACTTAATTTGGGCTGTGCCCGATATTAAATATTGGATCGGGGCCTATATTCAACGTTTAAAATATATCGGACTGGCCGATACTTTTAAAAAACAGATTCGATATTTATTGTTTTGGGTTATTTTATGATTGTATATATATATATAATATTTCTTATTTTATTCATTATTTCATAATAATAATTGTAGGAATAAAAATTTAATTTATGTAATGTTTTAAAAAAAATCGAATTATTTCAATAAATAGAGTAGCTTAAAATTTGATTTTTTGTTACATTATCTGCAACATGAAAATGATTTTAACATATCTAACGAGTCCAAATTTAGCTAGTATGGTTAGGCGGCTAGATTTAGTCGATTTTAAAAAAAATTGTAATTATGATTTTAGCCAAAATTAAATAACCCAAGTGTAGAAACTTTGCCCACAGATGAGAGAAAGATCTGGGCATCTATTGGCGAAATTTCGAGGTTTAAGTGATATTATTTAGCTAAAATTTTGATTTAGTCTTTAAAAATCAGCGAAATCGAGCCGACTAACATATATTCCGCCATAAGCATTGCCCATATTTAAAAAAAGATGACTAATTTTTGAAGAATAAAAAACAAAATACACTTAATAATTCATGAAAGTTAGTTCGTTTTTAAATAGAAAATATTGAATATTTATGAAATTGGATATAGATGGTAAATAAAAATAAAAAATAGAGAATCGGTATCGGATCGGTATGTGGTAATATCGGAAAATCGGATCGGTGAATTTGTGAGTGGGCACAAGCCTGATTTTAGTATTTCTAGAACTTCTTACTTTTACTAAAATAATTTACTAAACAATTTTGTCTTACACATCATTTTTTTTCTTTATCCCATATTATGATTCCATAAAGGACTTTGAAATTTATTGCAAATTAAATTATTTGTTAATTAATAAAGTTTTGCAGATGTAATACTCGTTAAATATTTTTTGATAAAAATAATAAAAATCAAGTCAGAAAACATCTAGTTTTATAAATCAGATGCTATTGGAACTAGGATAGGCTAAAAAATAGGTATTTTAATTGGTCAAACATGAATGTAAAAATATCATAATATTCGAAAAATATCCTAGCATTATCTTTTCAATAGTTTTTCCTAAACTTATTTATATATTTTTCAATATTTAAAAACAATAAATAAAACTTTTCCGTTTTCTTTAGAGCAGTCTAAGCATACGAGATTTTTGTTCCCGGTTCTGCCATGAGATATAACTTGAAGTTGATTGAAAGTTTTATCCAGTACAATTATTTCACTACCCGATCCATAAACCTTTGGTAGAGCAAAAAAAAATGGTGTAACATAAAATGAGCAAGTTAAAAAATGATTGCGATAAATAAAAAAATTAACAACATTGATACATTATAATTAAATGTTAGTAAATAATGAAATGAAAAGTTTAAAAAATGTTAATAGATTATATTTTCTAGAGTACTAAGTAGGAGCTGGGGTTTTTTTCAGCGCCGACCCTATTCGAGAAAAAAATCTTAAAAAATTTTTTGCCAATCTAATCTGGGAATTTTCAAAAATCCTAGTCCAATCTGATCTGAATAATTTCAAAGATCCTAGCGAAATTTTTATTTAGAAAACAAAATAATTTAAAAATTTTCCAGGTAAAGTATTATTAAATACTTTAAAAAAAAATTTATTTGTTTTTACCCCGAAAATTTTTTTTACATCTCTATTGCAAACTAAAAGAATCGTTTAAATACCCCCCCCCCCGCACACACACACCAAAAAAATTACACACGCACCCGAGTTAGTAATTATATGCAATTAAATCACTTAAAAACAAATAAAAAGGTAATTAAAAAACAAACGATATTCAACAATTAATGCAACGTTATCTCATACACTATAAATAAATATGCTTACATCAGAGTTTTATAACCTATAGCCTAAGTATGAATTTCGAAAAAAGCTTAAAATATATAGGACTAAAAGTCTTCGGAAAATAAATGTAATTTAAAAATAAAACTACGGTTAATATGTAAAGTTAAGAATTAGCTTTTATACTTTTAATCAGGGATGCGAACCCGGCAAAATTTTTGCCCGGGTTCGGGTTTGGTTTAAGGTTAAAAAAATAGGTAGGTTCGGTTCGGGTTCGGTTCAGGGAAATATTTTTGAACCCGGGTTTGGTTCCGGGTTCAGCTCAGGTTTAAGAATTTTTGAATTGATAAAAAAAATATTCTATATTTAAATCATAATTAAAAAGCTAGACATAAATTTGGTATAAAAAATAAATTTTTTATTTTTTTTATAGGCATAATATAGTTAAAAAATACAAAGCATAGTCATGTATAGATTTAAAAAATTTTATTTAGACGTATTTCTTTAAATTAACAATATCCAATATAATAATTTTTACTTTTACTTGTTCACTTTCATTTTCCTCTAATTAATAATCTTTGAGAATAAGTTAAAAATTAGAAATAAATGGCGTAAATGAATTTAATTGTTTAAAATTTATTAACAATCCAATAGGAATCTTTGAGAATAAATTTACAAAAATTTAAAAAGTAAATGAATTAAGTTGTTTAAAATTTATTAACACTTCACTTAATTGAAAATATTATAAAATGTCAAGTAAATTATTAATATTTGTATTTACAATTATACAAATATCTTATTTAAACAATACACTGAACCCGGTTGAACCAGGGTTCAAATAAAAATTCCTGGTTCGGTTCGGAGTTTTGAAAATTTTATAAACGGAGTTCAGGTTCGGTTCGGGTTCAGATTTTTCCCCAAAAACCCGGGTTTTCTTCTCCGGGTTTGGGTTCGGTTCGAACCCCTGTTTTTAATTATGCATGTATTTTAAAACATCGTACAGGGCTGAGACCCCGAACCCTCGAAATTTTACTGTTCAAGAATATATGTTTAATTTATTCTCTCAATGATTATATTTTGGTATTTATCACGATTATTTTCGCTTAAATAAAATATTAAAATTCAAATATATTATTTTTTTTAAATCGTATTTTATTATTCTAATTATAATTATGTTATGATGATAAACTAATTTTATGATGAATGCTAAATGTAATGAAATAAATTTTAAAAAACTGATGTTTCTGTAATTTCAACTATTTATAAGCCCTTTTTTCGAATATTTGTATAATTCGTATTTGATTCGTCGAAGAGAAAAATTGTATTATTCTATTTGTATTTGCGAATAATAAAAACCTTTTTCTATTTGATTCGTCGAATATTCGATACGATACGATTTGAAAATTAAATTCTTTAAAACTGAAATTTAAGAGTGATTTATCAATATGGAAATAAAATTTTAAAAAAGTAATGCAAGGAACAAGTTAAATATTTATGAATAATTTTAAATATATACAAATATTTAAGAATTATAGAATAATATTAAATTATACGTATAATTTTGAATAATTCTGTCTAATAATAAGAAAATTAGACAGATACTATATATTTTTAATTCATATTCGAATCGAATCAAATCGAAAAACGATAATTCGCTATATACTCCGCATCAACTCAGTTCAGGGAGATTTATTTTTTAGAACGAGGGTTCATAGCCTTGGCTAAACAAAAACAAATTTTAATAAATATTCTTATATTCAGGTACATGATATAAATGCAGTAATAGTAATTGGGTCACCTCTGAATGAAGGATTTACGGTATTTAATATTTGTAATTGCATAATAAAAAATTTTTCTTCTAAATTTATAGTTATCAATAAATAGAAACCCATATGCTTGGTTATATCATTCCCTAACTCATAAAAAACTATAAATAAAATCTTTCTTTTACGACTATTTGGCATGAAGACCAAAAAAATACTATATATCGATATTTTGATAACGATTTAATAAAGAATATATTTAAGATATACATATATATATATATATTATAATTATTTATCAAAATATATTTTATAGTTAATTTTCTTGGCGCGATAAAAATAAAATCATCATTATTTAATTCAATGGTGAAAGATAATTTATCGAATTATGAGAATTATTTATTGTTTATATAACTGAACATTGAAAAAAAGAAAAGAATTCGTCAAATGGAAAATAATATCTTACAAATTACAAATTGACAATGGCATTTTGTAACTAAAATGCTAATTTTTTTCTGCTAAGTTATGGAATTTATTTTTAATGATGTTCTTTTATCGATTATTGGTTATGGATTTTGGGTCACATAAAATATATTTTTCATGGAAAAACTTCAATAATGTAATGAGTATATGTATGGATGTTTAAAATGCATTTATTTTTAAAAATAGGGTTTGGTAAAAAAAACAAATTTGGCTAATTTTGTTTTTTGAATATTTAAAATAAAATATAGAGCCATATGAAATTGAGCCCAAAAAATTCTGGATCGAATTGGTCAGATAAAATTTTTCTCTCAAATCGGGGATGGGAAAAATAGGTCTGGTTCGATGCAGGACTTTAATATTCATGAAAAATATTAAGAAAAGTAAATAATTTAAAATTTTGTCGAGATCCAAGTCGGGTAAAAAAAATTTGGAACCATTACTAAAAAGATTTTCTTTTTTAAAATATGCTTTGGCTCCAGTATTATTTTTTGGTTTATATCAGGGATCCAAACCGTAAAGAATATTGGTTCGGTTCAGTTAAAAATAATAGTTCAGGTTAGGTTCGTAAAGAATAATAGTATCGGTACGATTTGAACCTTTAAAAGCCTATTCGGAACATTTCGCATATAAGTGTATTAGAAATTATTTAAATTTTATCATTATTCTCTAAAATATTTGAGCCGTATATAATTAAAATACTTTCAAGATTTTTCTTCTGTCAAATTATATCTATAAGGAAGAAGAGTAAATTTTAGGACCGAGAACACTTCCATATGCGAACTTGGGCAGCTGGTACCAGTCAAATAGCAATATAGAAAAATAATTACTGACACTTTTTAGTCAAAAGGGTTAGAGGTTCGGTTTGAATCCCTGGTTTATATATTCGTTTTTATTTCGAAAAATAAAAAATAATTTTTTTGATCTAAGCCTAAGGATATATATAAGTTTTTTAGCTTTATATCATTAAAGTTTAGAGCCATTTTTAGAGTTAATAGTATTTCGTATCCAGTTCTCAGATGAATAGTTTCAAATTAAAGTCAATTACCTCAAATCAAAAATTTGGTAATAAATGCGATGACTGTATACATTCATCGAATGCTACTTACAACTATTATAATTAGTGTAAATAAATCAATTTAGAGGAAATTTTTTTTATAAAATAATTATGATTGAAGTATTTCTTTTTTATTTTAAATATTTAATTTGTTTTAGTAATTTTTACTTGATGTTGACTGGCTGATTGTACTGAAATATCAAAAAAAAATCCTAAACATGGCCTATTAATATCAATCTCATTTATTTTTAATATGCGTCGTACGTTCGAGATAAACCTAAAGCTTAGATATAAATTTATTATCCCAGCTAAATTTTATTAATAGGGTTGGCGATTATCAAATATAATTTTTTTTGCTCGCATTTTAAATAATTATTAGTTTTGGTCATCCAATTTTACTTTTGGCATACAAGGTTCAATTAATCGCTAAATTTTAATTTTTACAAATAATTTTATGTTGTGTAAATCAAGAAATTATTTTATTTGGTATAATAAACTCCTATAAAAATCTTTTTAATTAAAAATTAAGGAGCAGGCAACCTTAATAAAAATTTTAAACTGGACCGGGCCGGGCATTAGCTGAATTCCCACCAACCGGGCCTAAAACTTTTACCATTTGCAGACCCCTGACGTCTATTGATTAATGAAAAAAGGAATTAACTTAGTATCATAGTATATTATCGGCCACATTTTTAAAAATGGCTACAATATTTTAGTCAAAAAATTTTAAGTAAGCCTCGAGATTTCGTTAATAGATGTCCAAACTTTTTTGTTATCTATGAGTAAAATCTGTAGACATGAATAATATTTTTGAGCTAAAATATTGGGTTAGTCATTTTTTAAAAATCGAGCCGTTTAACAACACTAATTCGTTCTACAATCTTTAGGAAATAGATTTAAGAAATTTGAAACTCTCGAAAAGAGGTTTCATATGTTGGTTTCCAAAGTAATTAAGTTATAAATTTTTTTATTAATAATTTAATTTTACTAATTTATTTTGTTCTTTACTTTTAAGTTTAAGTATAGAGTTATTATCCACACATTCAAACCATTAATAGCCTCACAAAAATACAGTGGCGTAGCCAAGATTGATTCATAGGGGGGGGGGGGGCTTCACCCCCAAACCGCATTTTAAAAATTTG